GATTGCCTACAGTCTTTCAAAAAACGGTAATTTGTATGTTCATGGCACCTTCTTTAAAATAATGTAAAAATTAATATAGGTATCCGGACTACTTTTCATCTAATTTCAAATTGAATTTCATGAAAATACTTTATTTTCTACATAATTTTATTAGATCCGTAAAGTAGGAAAAAAGAAAGTTGAAAGTGATTATGACGTCATAATGGATCTAGCACCAAGTAATTATCTAAAGACATTTACTAGACTTGACCTTAACATGATATTGGGAACAAGAGTTAATAAAAACACAATAAGACGTTAAAATGTTTTAATTATCTGGTTGTAGTGAGGAAGTGGTTTTCAGACACCTGGATGATTTTCTCCAAGAAGCGGATGCTATATTTCAAAAAAGTGGAAACACAAGTCAGGAACTGGATTTATGCCTCATGCTGATCCAATGTATTGAGGTAAATTATTTATATTTCTTCGTTTTCATTATAATGTATATGAATGAAAAAAAAGTTAAACTTGAAATACATATAAAGCATGTCATTTGTTTTGTAAACTTCTTTCCCCCTTTTTTCAGGATTCTCTGGTAGAACAGTCCGCGAATCTTATCCGTTATCGTGAAATAGAATGCATAGAAAGTTTGATCATGAATGTCACAAAAAGCTTGCAAAGTAAAACTAGGGTCATTGACAAAATTCAAAGCATTGCAGCAGCAAGATTTTGCCTTGAAATGATAGCAAAGTATTTAAAGGAGAGTTACTCATCGAAGTCTGTATCAGAAAAACGTTGGTTTGAAGAACTTTTCAGAAAAGCAGCAATCTTATGTGATTTGCCCATTGATCATTTAAGGTACGTTAGATAACAGAGTAATGTTGTTTGGCTTGAATTTTAAATACCCAGCATGTTTTGATAATTCAGCTTATACTTTACAGAGTGTTCCTTCTCACTCACATATGTCGATCGTATGGCCTAGACTTGTATCACTCCCTATTGAAGTCAGAAGAAACCTGGATATTTCCTTTTCAAAAAGCCGAAAAACCGGTAAGGAATTTGTAGAAAATTCTTAATTACATATAACATAGAATTTTAAATATATTTGTAAATTACAGTAACTTTTTGAAATGTTTTTTCTTAACAATATCTTTTACTTTAACTTCAATACGTTCAATTGAAAATTTTCAATCCTAATATATGTCATATATATTTTTCAATCTTGTTTTGTATATATAGTTCATTTGTTCAAAATCGATCTCTTAATTCTTTTATTTCTTTAATTTTCAAAAGAAAATACTAATTTTGCGACTAAGTGTTACTCATACTTGTTGATATTTTACAGGAAGTTAATAATATCAAGTTATGGGTTGGCATGCTTAGTATCCGTTTTCGTTTCAATTGAAAACATCGCTTTGATTTATGTGAAAATTATTTCAAATAAGTGACACTATTTGAATTTTTTCGTAGAGACACTAAATGTTATATCAAAAAATCTTTTTTTGTTGGTATCATTTATAGTAAGAATGAACAAAAAGTACTAGTATGTTTTATACCTTTAAAAAAATCATAAAATTATTTTAAACTTTTTTTAAAATTCAGATGCAAGAATGTCCGGATTATTTCATTGTCTTAGGAGATACCTACAGGGAAATAAGAGAAAATATTGCAGAATGTCTCTTAGTGAAGGAAAAACGTGTCCGTCTAAAGGTTCAACTTTTTGTCCATAGTTTTGCTAAATTTAGTGTGAATTTGTGCTATATTTCAAGCTTTGATGTTCAAATGTACATATTGGCCATTCATTATGAATTATGAAATATTGTACTAAAATAAAAATGAGAACTTATAGCCAATTTTTTGCAAAATCGTATTAAATTAGGTTCCATGATGAAATTCGTGCTGATTTAATTAATATTTTCCTTTTATTGATTTAGGTGACTGCACGTTCCGTTTCCGTACAATTTTCATATTTGCTGGCTCTGATTAAAGAACTGAAAATGAAAGAAATATACTCCAACGGAGAGATGGAAGTGACTGGTCAGTTTGTAGAAGGTCTCAAAGGAGAGTTTACTCGACAGAACTTACAAATTGTGCTGGTAAGATAGCAGTTAAGGAAAAATATTTTGCAAAGTCGTTTAAAGCAGTTGTTTTTCCAAGTATCGGTAGTTGATTGTTTTGTTTTTTATTTGCACAGTTCTGACGAAACTACAGAATATCTGTAAATTATATTGAATATACCGGTATAAAATAAAAATTCACACAAATGTTGTAAGTAAGAAGACCGAATTATCCAGTAGGATGAATGATTATGATGACTGATATAATGAATTAATTATTAAGCAAAGTTTCTAACATATAAGTGCTCATATCAATTTTTTTTTGAATGAAAGAGTCATTTATATTGCTTTGGTTTTATAGACATTTTTGGATGATGTTCTGGGAGACTCGTTTGCAAAGTCTTGCAAACATTTGCAAATTCGATACCACCAGGATCTTAAAGGCCAAGGAATAGTCCTGCTAATTATCCACTTTTTAATGGTTCTAAAAACCCTGTCGTCAAATGAAATTCTTCAGCCATTTGTTCTTTTGGCTACACATCCTAAAACAATGAAGGTATCAATTTTATCAATTTTATTTAAGAAATTAACTTTTATAAAATATATATACTTGTACAAACACATTTGCTAGAAGCCGTACATGCATTCATAACTATTTAAAATTTAATTTGAATCTCGTGTTGCCAAAAATCTCGGTCAAGTAAATTAACCAGAGTCTCTAATAAATGTATGTATTGTGAAAAATAAATTTATTGGTATACCAAAATTTAGTGTTTTGTCTCCCAACAGAAAAAAGTTAGAGTAAATTATTTTTATTGAGTAAATCAGGTGTTTAAGTTGTTTTATTACCATGTAAACAAATTCGTTTTGCTACTTCATAGGGCTCCTTTTTACCAACAATGCCTGAAGAAGGTTTATCAGCGGAAATCAAAGCAGAACTTCAGCGGATGGAAGAATTGGCCAATAAACACTACCATACTGTGACTTGGTATAGTAAGTATCAATTTCTCTCACAGATTTGAGAATAAACTTTTGTCCGAATGGTTAATTGTACACATTACCTATCTAATGGCTAATTTTTTTACAGGATGTCCAAATGGTCACCCATATGCTGTTGGCGATGTAAGTAAAGGAATATTTCCATCGAAGAAATAAAAAAAAATATCCGATATAAAGTTGCTGTGATATTTTAATTCATAAAAAGAGAAAACTTACCTATATACTTTATATATGAAAGTACATTGTTCTTTTTAAAAATTTTTGTTCACAGGGCTAAATTAGAAAAAGAGAAAACTAAATTGAAAGCTTTATTTTGAAATGTACATTTATTCTTTTTCAAATTGGAATTCACGGGGTTTACTTAAAAACATAAAAACTGATAATGTGTTTTTCAGAGGAATACTTTAAAACATAAAATTTCTGCGGAAATACCCAAAGGCTTTTCGATATAAAGATTGAATGGTGAATTTAACACTTATTAATCAATTGTTTTAGTGTGGAAATCCAACACAGTTGGGACATTGCTATCAATGTAAAGCTGAAATAGGAGGACAGTCTTCTAAATTAAAAGGAGATAACGTAAAGGATACCGGGTATATATAACTTTCTATTAAATGCTTTTGTAAATATACAAGAATGTTTATAGATATCAAATATGCAGGAAACATTTCTAAAAAATGTATGCAATAAATCAATAATTTTGTTTTATAGATCTGACTTCAGTCAACCAGGGCACATTTTGGGATCACCGGACGGGCGGGGATCACACGCCATGTCAGAGAGAACATTGTCGCCTGCTTCTACTACATTGCTGCGATTGATTACACACATAGCGATGTTCATTGGAGCCAATGAACACTTAGATGTAAGATACAACGAATATATTTTAAATAGATTGCCATTCATTTACAGTATATTTAAAATTCTTATTAATAATTTTAATTTGTTTAATATTCGTATGTGATGATAAACATCAGGATGTGTGTGGCCTTATACAGCCAGTCATTCCATCAGACATGGTCCCTGACTTTCTTTGGGAGCATATCAGTAAGGACATTGATATTTTAAGGACTTCATTAGACCGCAGCATCGACGACTTGTTTATGTTTCTGCACTCAACAATACAATCGTTTGTGGAGAATGACACATCATATTCTGGTAAGACGCTGTTAATATTAAAAACTGAAAATGTCTCGCGGTTTATTTCTTGTTAAAAAAAACTATACTAATTTAAACATTTATTTTGTTTAAAATTCTTAACCAAAGAAAAGAAAATCGGGTGGACATACACATAAAACACAGAAGACTAAAATATGTAAATTGATTATAAAAAAACTAAGAGTTGATCTGCAAACACTTTTGAGTACACGCATTATATTAGATCCTTTTTGTTATAAAGGGATCAGAGGTAGAGTAACTATGCAAATGCAGTACGACCTATCCACCAAGAAAGGAAGATCTACTTGGGAGACAGACATTGATAGGATGTGTATTTCCAGGAAATTACAGGTATTGACTGGTCAGGATACCTTATTTCTTATTTGAACTTGCATGTCAGTAGAATGGAGAATGTCTATAGATTTTATGTCTGACATTCCTTCATTCCTTGATTTCAAGAAATACATGTATCCTTTTGTGAAATAATGAGATTTTGTTATTATACATGACTTTTTTTTCTTTCGACGATAGATTTTATCTTTAATATGAATTTGTCATTTTAAGACACATCAAGAATTCTTTGACCGCTGCACCGAACTGTTGTCTAACGATAGGAGCATTGGTATGTTGGCTGTTTGTTAAAATATCTTGCCTTTATAAAAGAAACAGTCTCATCTATGACTTATGGTAACAGACAGGAATGAATTGGCATGCATTTAATTTTATTCAAAAATGTAACAAGATATAAAAATGCCAATAACTGTCAATAATTTTTATAAGGACTCTGTTTAAAATTGAGATAAATCTAATAATTACTTATGTTTATTGCAAATCGTTGATGCAATTTTACATTACGTGTTTGTTTTTGTTAGGTTCGGATCCATTTTTGAAATTAGCCTTCAACAAAAATACTAGTGACTCAGACACGTTTTCAATGGCAAACGTGGAACTTTCTCCATCTGTGTGGCAACATAGGAAAAAAGTTACTTTCGAACAATTTGTTCATGAATTTCATGCAATGATAAAGGACAGGCGGTTTCTGTTCGGTGATCGATACTTTGTTCTGAACAGGTTTTTACAACAGGTAAAAAAAAACAAATGGAACTTTGAGTTCGGCTTTCTCAATGACACACTTATTAACATCTTTTTTGTGAAGTTTTATTGTTAGGTTTTTTAAATTTTGACGTTATATAAGAATGAAATTTTCTCTGTTTTCTCAGGAATTTTATCTTCGTCACCTACACCATATTCCAAAAGTTCTCCAGATGCAAAAATTACTCCTATCAAAGTATGGTAGACAAATCACACGTGAAGAAGCGACTGAAATGACACTTCAGAACAGTATTGACCATTTTCATGATGGTACTGACCACTTCTTTTTTGCATAAAAATGTTTTCAAATATCTTAAATTTAGGATTTTATTTACTTCAACTATGATTAAATACTGTTACAATGAATATTTTTTAATAAGAAAAAAACCCACTACTGAACTCTTTTGGAAGCCTAACAACTTTATATTACTTTACATTTAGATCCGGCTCAGGAGATAATTGCCCAAGGAGTTTCATCAGTATGTGAACTCTGGAATAGTTTACGACATTCAATTGCACTTGTTTTACCTTTTGAAAGAAACGATGAATTACGCGCTCTCCTACAGCGTGACATATGTACTGAAACTGACAGTCTTCGGGTTGTGTTACCAGAAAGTCAAGGAATCGGTGTCTGCATCCGGATTATTTTCGAATTTTTGATCGGAAAACAAAATGAATTTATAACAGCAATTAACTCAAGGTATTCTTTAAAGATATATCTTCAAACAATTTAAATTTTTCCCTATATTTAAGCATTTCTAATGTTTTTTTTTCTCTAGAGGAAAAAATCGGAAAACTGGAAAGAAAAAATTATACATAAAAAAAAGAAAATTGAGAAATTGATTTCACTTTATTTTGTTATGTCTAGATTTCAGAAATCACAGAAAGTAACGGTGGATGAATTGGCACCAACACATTTCATCGGCTTTAAGAGGGAAACTGACATTTTTCCAATCGTCCTAGCCAATTGTAATTATACATATATGCAAGATGAGAGCACAAAAGTAGAATACGATTTTGAGAACATACAAGCTGTTTTACAGGACAGGATACTATTTGGAAAGGCAGTTATAGATACAAGTGGAGGTGTAAGTCGAAATTTGATTAGCAGTTTTCGGATTGAAAAGTTACCAACATGTAGTTTTGCACCAAATATTGGTGGATCATTTTTCCAATCTTCTAAATTTGAAACTAAAAGTGATGCAAGAATTATGATAAAAACTGTATGAAAAAGAATTTTAAATACACAAATACTAAAAAGGTCATATTTAACTTCAAGAAGTTTTCATTGTAGTTCACATTGATGATGTATAAAGCAGATGCCTCAGTATCGTCAAAATTCACTTCTCTCGCACTGAAAGTTCCACAGGTTTGCAAATGATTAATTAATGCCTCTTATCGTGTTTTGTTGTGCATGACTTCGATTCCACGTACATTTTTGAATTTTAATACATAAAATCAGTTTTACATGTAACACACTTCCTTCGCTCCGTTTTGAATATATTTTCTTCGTCTTTAGACATGCACGTCTTTCTATGAAGTAGAGATTTTATTATGTCACTTTCATTTCAAATTGTTAATGTGTTATTACTTTTAGGAAGCATTAAATAGAGGAGTTCAAAGTCAAATAACAATGGAGTTTTCAGACTTGCCCGATGTTTACAAGACAATAGGAAATATCGATACTGTGGTGAATTTCCTGCTATCTATGAACTACCCACCAGACCTGTTGCTTAATTCGTTCATGGAGGAAACATTACAGATGAAGCCGTTGTCTAGTCATAAGGTTTTCTATTTTACCTATTAAAATTGCATAGGATGTTCTGTTCCAAATTTTGCATTTAATAGTTGAGATTTAAAAGGGTTATATAGTGTCGTAGAATGGTTTGTTATTAATTAAATAATTTCAGGCTGCTCAGTGTTGCAAACTTTGCCACGTCAAGTCATTATGGTTTTTACTTACCTTTGAAAAGACAAAACGTCTTCACCACAGTGAAAAGGTAAAAAGGAGAAATTAAACAAATATCCTATTACACAAGTAAAACTGTTAACTTTTTTGTCTGCATAAGGTACTATATATGAGGTTACTAAGTAAAATATTTTTATTAAATCAAATTATTTGAAGGAGGCCTTTGATAGCATCAACAAATCTATACAAGAAGAAATTCCCGCAGAGAGTAACAACGAACTGGACATTTATCTCAGTGAACTTTCTCTGGAAAAGCTGGAGATCTTTCTGGAGCAGCTGCTAGAGTGCATTCTCTTTACTTTAAACTGTGGGGAGGGTGACATTGGCTCTTATCAGCACAGGTACTCTTTATCTATTTAACAGAGTCTATAAATACTAAAATACATACCAAAGTAGAAATCTGATGTTATATGGTGTATCTTAATACTAGTACTTAGCCCATATGGATCGAAGGCTCCAGCGTGCACTTGGGATTGAAAGGTGTCCACGTCCTTATGTTATGAGTCAGTTGTAAACTTTATGTATTCAACTTCTTAAGATTCAACCTAATTTGCCACAAAGTATATATATATATATATATATATATATATATATATATATATATATATATATATATATATATATATATATATATTTGTACCATAGTTAGGTGTGATTTCTTTTGTTAAAAGTGTGGGTTTTCTGTACATAACCCACACTTTTCTATAACTCCGCCCATCGAGTCGGGACAAAAGAACTATTTATAAAACGATCATCCATGGTTTTTAAATGAAACAATCATACGGGCTTGTTATACCAAATTTAGGAGAGTAAAAAGGAGTAAAAATTTTCAATTGTATACAGCATTTTGTAATAAATAACAGTTGAAAACGTCCATTAATACTTTATCTTTAGTTAGTGAAGAAAAAAACTTCAGAAATCACTTGATTTTTTAAACATCTTTTTAAATAGTGTAATGACCAGGGTGACATTATAGTACATTCCAATATATCGTTCTTTTGATAACCAACGAAGGAAACACGGTACATACTTCATGTAAAAACAAGTGTACACTACTGTACATAAATAACCTTTTCGATTGCGGATCTAGCCGATCAAAGATCTAATTTTCCTTAAATTGAAACGTACATATAACCCCCATCAAACAATTCAATCAACGTAACCAATGTGCATGGCAAAGTTTGTATCAGGTTTACAAAATTTAAGTTCAACCAAGTTCATAATAAATTTAAATTACTAGTATGTAATTATTTATATATATATATATTCTTATGTCGCTTGCGTGGCCCAGTATGCCCTAGAGTATATATATATATATATATATAGTATAAACAAAGGTCTCGTGTCGCAGAAGGTGTTATCTCTCATGCTCAATGACCCTGCGTGCCGATTATAGGGCAAAATTTGTAGCAAAATTTGAAAAGTATTGTATACAAATCACTTACCCTATATTCGATGGACGTGGTCAGATGGACACGAAGGAGCGTAAAATCATATAAAATCCAAATGCATCTTTGAAACCACATTTACACTTAATGTTTCAATCACGCGAACCAGTCCGACCGATTCCTACGCTGACTTACGTTTTTGAAAACTATGGTACAAGTCATTTACCCCATATATATATATATATATATATATATACACATAACCAACAGTATGATATATACTATACATATATATATATATATATATATATATATATATATATATATATATATAATTTGCAAACATAAAAGCAAGATACAAATATTGAAGATTCTTGTGTACGTTGATAAATTTTAACTCTACTAACACAAGTACACATACCGCATGTCCTGAAGACAAAACATTTATATACAGTATAAGTATTTTTCTCTCATAGTCTTGAAGGTTACGTTTTATTATTGTAAGGTTGAGCGACTCCCTCATGGTACATCTAGAAAGTCCAGAGTATTTGGAAGTCGACTTGAAATCTTTCCGGTTAGAAGACTTAGAGGGTTTGCCTGCAGATATACTGGCTGTGCATTCAGTAGAAGTTTGGAAGAGAATTCATAGATATATCCTCAGTGGAGAATAAATTTTGGAGATGAATGATCTTGCAAAAGAAACAGATTTTATCAAACTATCCATAGACATCAAATTCTGACATGAAAAATTTACATTCACTGGGGAATTCGTTTGATTTGAATTTGTTTTATCGAGTGAAATATTAAAATCATTGATAGGATTAAGTATCAAGCATGGCTTATAAATACATGTATATGACCCTTCTCCATTAAAATGAATTTTGTTTTTGTTCGCAAAGGATAAATGATCATTATTATTGATAACCTTTCTTATTTAACCATAGATTATGTTTTGTTGAAATATTATTATGTACATAGATATGTGATATTGTATTTTGTTAATAAATGCATAATTAAAAATATATTCGTCAATACTGAAACGCCTATACATAAAAATAATTAGACATAAGATAGCTGATAAAAATTATGTATTAAGTTCTCATTTACATATACTTTGATTTTCATAAATATATATTGATATACATGCAAAATGGGATGTGATATATACTATCCTTTCAAACATGTAAAACATTTGCAACATAATGTGTTAAACGTATTTTGAATATACATGTATATATTTTTGATATCTTTTAATTAATGTATTATTTTGATTTATGGACATTGAACTTAAAGTATGCATGCATCATTGTCATTAAACTACTTTTACGTTAGGCAAGCAATATGCATTACTACTTTATTTGTAATTTCTGAGATATATATACATTTATGTAACCCCCAATACAACAATTGAAAATACCATTGTATATTCAATGGTACAAACATTTGATTTTTAGTGAACAATTTGTGCATGTGATAATTTTAATAAGTCTATTTAAAACATGACACAGTTGACTGAAACTTGCATTTTTTCAATAACATTGTTTTAAAAAACATACGATGGTGTCTTTTCAATTTTTAAATCAGGAGAGTAATATGCAGATCAATATGCATAGGCATTTGGAACTTAACAACATACAAGTAATCAGAGATTACAGAGCTAACCTCAACGAATATTGTCTTTATGATAGGCAAGTCCCGTAATTAATCATCTAGTTAAAACAATTTTTGCTTGATTGGTCTTGCACTTTCTTAGGAATAGACTTGCATGTATCCAAAACGTACACAGCACACTCATTCGCAAAATGTTCAGTCAAATCTTTACTTGTGCTTATCCCTTGAAGCATCATCCCAACAAGTTTGGTCCAGGAAGCGCAAACAGTTACTGTATTGTATTATAAGTTGCCCGATTTTCTGATTGACAATCCTTACAATCCATCGGAATTCTAATGAGTACCAATTGCGCCCCGCTATTAGCAGACCTATATCTGTATTCATATGAAACAGAATTTTGTTAGCACTTTTACATAAAAAAAGACACTTGCTTTTGCCTTTTAATTCGACAATTAGATATATGGAGGACGTACATGTGTCATCAATAAGCAGTAGAGACTACTTTTATTCATATGTCGACTCGACATATCCCAGTGAACTTCATATCAAAGATGCCACTAAGTCGGACATATCTGAACAGTATTCGGATATTTTACTAGAAATAAACGTTAATGGCAACCTTGAAACAAAACTTAATGATAAACGTGTTCTAACATTTTCTAGAATGATTCAAGCTGCTGACAAAAAAGGATATCAACAGTCTCGTTAAAGTCGCCATATTGCAAGTCCTATGGTCGATACAATGATCTTGTTAGTATGTATATCCATCCAATCTATCAGTAAGTAGAATGTTGGCTGACGTTTTTCATTCTATTCGTAATTCAAACATGGGTTTGTCCATCGATTTTCCCTCTTGTCCAGTCATGACAAGGAGTACACGGTGGGTATGACAGGTCGGTAGGGGATGCTTACTTCTCCAAGGAACTTGATCCCACCTTTGATATTCTTAGAGGACTCTGTATATTATTTCGTTTGTTATACTTACCAGTCATAAATATACATAAGGATATCTTCCCCTTATTAACGTTCATAACTCGCGGGCAAGCGTTTAAAAGAATAAGATTCAAACACTTATAAGTCCGAGATTACATCTCAGACGCTTGTCCAAATCAGTTCATTTTCCGGCATGCAACAGAACGTTGATACTTTTTTTGGCAGAGATTTTCTTTTGTCTCAGCCAAGGAGTGATACAAATACTTTGTATTTGTATAGGATATTTGTATAAGATACTCTCTGAATGCTTTACGTTTAAATATGGAAGAAGCAAGTATTATTTCGAACGACGAAATAAATTCGTGCTCAGAATTCCATAATTTACAAACAGTAATGGGGGCCAAAAGGAAAGAACACGCGGTCCGGGAGGAACTTCTAAAGCTAATGAGAAAATGAAACAATTAGAAAACAGAGTCAAGAAAGGTTTGACACTATGATGAATTTTTTAAGAGAAAGTATTCAAACTTTGTCCAGCAGTGTTTTAGAGGATACAGCTTCTCGTAATGTGCACGAGACAAACATGTCTCATAATTCGTTAGCGGATCAGGATACCGGTGGTTTATCCACGCGGAGACTTGAGCCCATGGTATCAAATTTTGACGATTCATCTGGAATGCGTCCCATTATACCTTTGAAAAAGTGAAGTCCAAATTGAAGGGACATTAAAGCTGTGCCTGAAATGGACGATATGATATCCTTAGCTCCGTGTCAGAAAAGCTGCGTGAGCTATTGGGTGATAACGAATCCTCAGTACAAGAGGAATCTATTGCTGTCCATGATTTTGATAACAATCCACATAAGTTGGACAGCAACAACAACAATAGATTTCAGAACTTGATCAATAAAAATGACGAACATACAAAAACTCTAACTGATAATTTTGGCAATGTTTCTTCTTCAGAGGAAAAAAACTGGATTAGTTTTAGACAAAACACAAGAGGAGATCTTGAAAAAGTCATGGAGAATTACTGATCCTGAACGCTTGTCTGCTTATAGAGATTAATATAGACAATGTTTCCCTGTTCATCCAAACTCGTCAGCATTTCTACAAGTTCCAGGACTAGATGACATTTTAGAACCAATGTTTAGAAAAAAAAACATGGGAATAAAACCAAAAGTTGGGAGAAAAGTAAACATTTAATTTCTCAACCTTATAAAAGTATTGAAACTTTGGCGTATCAGGGACAGATGGCTGCCCGTATGGGTATTATTTCATTAAGCTACATGCAGCAAGCTTTAGGAACGTTGTTAGATTCTATAACTTGTCAAGATGCAGACACAGTTCAAGCAATCAAAGAAATTTATCCATGTCTACCAAGGCACTAGATCAAATGGGGAGAGCAGGGGCTTTTCACCATCTAATAAGAAGGAAAACTGCAGCACAAGACTCTGGAAATTACTAGATTTCATGGCGTCTTTAACACAAAACTCTGGATGGGAATTAAAAAAAACCCAGAACAAATATATACATCTACTCAGAGACTAAATTTCTTCTTATGCAAGAGAGAAAATTAATTAATCAAACATTTTGTCCCAAAGAAATCTATTAAATGACTGGAGATTAGAACAGGTACATGTAACCAAAATTGCAAAGTTACAGTCTCAAACATTTTGTAGAAAATTGGGTAATTATTATCAATAATCAAAGAGGGTTACAAACTAGAATTTCTTCGAAGCCCCCAGTTTTTAGGGGTAAAGAAAACAACAATCCCTCAAATACAAAAATATTGTTGAAGAGGTAGAAGATTTATTAGAAAAAATGCAATAGAGCCTGTCTCAAATCAGGAGAGTCAAACAGGTTTTTATAGTACATTTTTCCTTGTCCCCAAAAAGGGTGGCAAAATGAGACCCATCATAAATTTGAGACCCCTCAACCAGTATCTCAAGAAGCAACATTTCAAAATGGACATTTTAAACAAAGTGTTAAATCTAGTGAAACCAAACGATTGGGCAATTTCAATCGATTTTACAGATGCATATCTACACATTCCAATATTTTCAAAACATCCAAAATTAAAAAAAAATCGAAAGATTTTGTGTAGAAAATCAGTGTTGTCAGTGGAAACCAATGTGTTTAGGCCCAACATCAGCACCTCCAGTTTTCACCAAAATGGTGTCTGTAGTAGCAGCATATTTGCGAACACACAATATTCGTCTAGTAGTTTCCCTAGACGATTGGTAAATAGTAAACTAATCATAAGAAATGTTATTTCAAGATCGTCAGAAGTGCCTAAATCTATTGGTTTCACTAGGTTTCATGATAAACAAAGAGAAGTCTTGTCAAGAACCCACTCAGAAAATTTTATACCTGGGAGATTTGTTTTTGTCCAGACAAAAAATAGTACTTCCATCTCAAGACAGGTTGATAAAATTGGTACAATAAACCCAAATGTTAAAGCAGGGTCAGAAAACAGCCAAAGATTTTCTCCAATGGTTGGGAATAGTAGCCTCATGCATAGATCCTATTCCAAATGCTCGTCTTTACATGAGGCCTGCTCAGTTTCATCTACTAAGTTTTTGGAAACCAAGTTCTCTAGATTTGGAGAAAATAGGTCCTATTACACCACATCTAATACAACACCTACAATGGTGGTTATATTCAGTGAACATTTCCAGGGGCAGATCTTTGCAACTGGAAGAAATTTGGGTGACCATAACCACAGATGTATCCTTGACAGAGTGGTGGGGTCACCTAAACAATCAAATAGTTCAAGGACATTGGGACAGTCCATTTTGGAACAAAATCATTTGTTCCCACATTTTCAATAAACAAGTTACTGGATCCAAAAAGGTCTTTGTTTTTCTATTTGAAGAAAACAGAAACTCATAGAAAAAAACTGAAAATAGATTGCAATAAATTATTTTGAGTTTACTTGAGCCACATCAAGCTGTGACATCTCAGACCATTTCAAAATGGATTATTCAGACTATACATATGGCTTATGAAAACAAACAAAAAGTGAAAGGACATAGTACAAGAGCAAAAGGTCCTTCTTGGGCTTTATTTAATGGTGCATCAATAAAGTTAATTTTAGATTCTGCAGATTGGAGCCAAGAATCTACTTTTTGCAATTTCTATCTGAGAGATGTAGATGACAGCATACCAGTTCTAAAATGTTCTGTAAATAATTAATTATTTGTTTACTGTGTAAATAGCTTTTGTTGTTAGAGATGTGATCATCTCCGGCGAGTTGCAACTGAGAACATTTGTTGTATATAGTTTCCAATCACTCAATATGTGTTCATAGTATTTGGTGGACGGCATAACTAATGACAGATGAAAATTGCTGTTTTTGAAATTTTATATTTGAGGTATTAGGGAGGCAAGCTATTGACAAATGAATTGATGAAACGAGAATATAATCAGTCTCGTACAAAGTCAACATTTTGCACATTCTTGGTTGATACAATAACTTTAATTTTTCAGCAAATACAATTCATCATTACGTCTACGTTGATCGACATACTAAAATTAAGGCCATAATCAGACGTTTAAGACATGTAAGAGGTCCATGTTTGCTCGTCTCCTGGGGCCCGTTTTACAAAAGAACTTACGACTAAGACCAAAAACTTCAGATTATTGTAAAATTAAGCAAAATTAATAATTCTCGTTGAAATTGTTTATGTAAAAATATCTTACCACATTCCTTTTAAAAAGATAAAAATAATTTTCAATATAATGTTAATTAAAAAGTATTTAAAAGTATGAAGAATTAAATATGGTCTCAAATCGTAAGTCCTTTTGTAAAACGGGCCCCAGGTCTGTATTGTCTTAATGGAGCTTGAATAATGTTCATCATCTTTACATTTAATTGAATGAAAGACATTCGACTCAATTTATTCATGTCCATTCTTTGTGTGGAATATAATTTATTCTTTAATCCAATATGATCATAAAATACACATGGAAATTTTTTATTTTATAAGAATAAATATGACACTTGGATCATTCAATCACCAATACTAGTAATCAAATAACAAAAATACAAATGTATATTATCGCGGAAATGCAGTTATAATAACAACCTTGGTTGTAGTATAACCATGTAATTTTTTTTAATTAAGTTTTAAGTTTAACATCTGAACTTCGAGCACAGCAGTATATTTTAAAATCTGTATTTGATAGTTTGAGTTAATTGAATCACATTTCTTTTGAGTTCTTCTCAATTACACTGTTAAAACGTGTTATGGTTTTCTTCAATTATTAAAGCAATAATATACAATTTTATATCATTACACATTGCAGTTTTAAAAACTATGAAAAATGGTAATACATGTAGTTGGAAAAAAAAATAAAATCACGTTGATAAACAAACAAATTCTCCGACTTATAAAATATTACATATTATTTGGCTGTAGAGAACAATATATCCATGCTAAAAAAAATAAATTATCATTCAAACCATCTATAAATACACAAAGACCTACAAACACAAACTGTTTACAATGACACATGTATAAAGAAGAATTAATTTAAGCAAAAATTATCAGGCAAAATTCAGAGCAAAGCATGTTTCCTTTCCGTGAAGGGAGATACAATACGACTTGTCTTGTTTTACGTTGTTCGTTATATTTTTTACATGAACAGAAAGTACATCATTTCAATGTGTGATAAAATAAAAGAGTGAAAGTTGTGTACTAATCTAGTTATTTGTATTCTTTATTCATTCACGACTTTGAATTATGCGACTGATCATTTTCCACACTTCTACGGAATGGGAAGACAGTATGGTGGATGGTAACCGCTGTACATCATTTAACCCAAGAGTTTTTAAGTCCACCTCAGAATAAATAGGATCCTCCAAATGAACCATAAGCGTTTCACTCAAGCTGGAAATATAACAATGCTAAAAATAAACGTTCGTTAATTACCTTATGGCTAAATTAATGCTGCATGTTACTAACTAAGCCTTCTGAAAATAGATAAATAAATACATGCAAATAAAAAAAAGTATAGTACATCTTTAGAAAATTTCTTAAAGATTTCAAAGACCTTTAAAAATACTGTAAAGGAAAAATGTACAAAACAAACACACTATGTCAGAAAAAAGCAAATACATTCATGTATTACAGTCCAAGTCTAACAAAGCTCATACCTATGTGAATAAGAACCATAGTTCCATTGACCCTGATTCAATGTGAATAAGATACATTCCAACAATTGTTCCAGGATTACGCCAAGTTTCTCCGTAGACAAGTCTGTCAAGTACCAACAGAGGTCTTTACACATCTGTTCACTCAAAGGCTCCTTAATGTTTTCATGAATACTTTCAAAGCCATCCTGAAATTGCAAGTAAATCGTGTATATGTAAATCGAATTACGATTTTCCTGATATTCATAAAAAAAAATTTGAAGTAAAACACATACTTGAGAAGTTGAGACAGAATTCTTTTTAGCTGCAGATCTGTAGCGTTATGGTTTTATATATTTGTCTTTGACATGTAAAACCATAACGTCACATATCTGCAGCTAAATTCTTATTTACCTTTTCACTTAAGGTAAGTCTCTTTGTCTTTTCAAACATGAACAGAAACCACAGAGACTGGACGTGGTGAAGTCTACAGGAAACGCTGGCCTGTCAATTATTTATATTAATTATGAAATTACAAAAAGCAAATGTACAAGTTTATAATAAATATTATAAGATTATAATTGTTTTATTAATAGAGTAACTGTATGGACGGGAATATAACCTTTATTGTATGATTAATGAAATATTTTTAAAAATCGATTACAAAAGGTAAGTAGTTCATATGTAGCCTTTTGAAGAACAAAAACATAATTTTACATTTCTGCACTGCAACAAACATGCATGCCTATTAATAAGTGTTAAAAATACATGTTATAGTTGCAGAACTTAGTGAAACAGAAATACCTTTTGACTTAAAAGTGAACTCATTTGTAAAATATTCTCCATAAATTCACTCAGCAGATCATCACCACTGCAATTCACGGAAAGAAGAAAGTTGACCACCGTGTCTATATTTTCTATGGCTTCGTAAATGTCTGGTAAATCCGTGAAATCAGTTATTATCTGTCTCTGAAGCATTTTATCCAAGGGTTTCTATGTAATATAAAACATGATTTGATGAATATACATTACCAAAAACAAAAAAGAAAAGAAAGAAAATATAAATACTAGTATGTATATTATTTTAAACAATTGAACTAATATGCTTATGTTCATATAATACTATAAGAAAAAAAATTCCCACTGGCAATTGGTGGTGTCTCCATATGAGTGAAAAATTCTAGAGAGGTACGTTAAACAACATACATTCAATATAAGAAAAAAGTGAATATTTTCTTTTCCTTCAGAACCTTTCAAAATATAATGGCCCCTACAACACATTACTATTTTTTAGTGTTTCTCCTTTTAAAAAAGTTCTGATAAAGACATAACTGCTTGTACGGATGGAAGAGCCAGAGGGCTTCAGTATTTACTCCTAATATTGGACAGGTATAGATAATGTATACATATGTGAACATTTTCCTTTTCATTTTTGTCTTCAATATTACCTGATTTATCCTAGCATTTAGTGTAGCAAACCTCGTCATATCGGCGTCAGCCCGATATACAGTATTCCAGGGCTACAACAATAATATATTTTCAATACAATAAAAGTTATTTGCTTTGTTTTTTCTCCAAATCATACATATGTTACACACCAAATCATATAATACAAAGACTACAATAATCAAAACAACATATTACAACACATTGGAAAACACATTTTATGTTTTCATGCAATTTAAAAGTAAATCAAATAACGCCTATTATCAGTAACCTACCCATTTCCATGCACTGACATTTAGAATTGGTTTTCCTTGTAATATCTGATTTTTTATAGCTGATTGGATACTGTCAAAATCGTAGTCCAAAGTTGTCCTTTCATCTTTAGCATATGTGTAATTACAATTTGATATGATGATAGGAAGCAAGTCGGCCTTGTGATGGTATGAAATAAGATCACTTGTCGCCAATTCGTCAAAACTTATATCCTTCACATGGCTAGTCCTATCAACAATAGTGACTCAGTATAAATATTATGTAATTCATAATTTCTCGTACAAAAATTAAGAAACGACCAGAAGTCTATGTCAAGACTGTAGCTCTACTGGTTTGTACTTATCAAAAACCATTGCACTATTTTATGTATCTTTCACTTTGTGTAGTCTACTTGTGTGCCAACTTATTTTGAAATCAAACTAAAACTGTAGAAGGAGTAGCGTTTTAAAGGAATTTCACAGAAAATTCTATTTTTAGTAACCATGGTAACACCGTTCACCGAAATAAAAAACCGATGCACTATTCTATGTATCTTAGTGTAGTCTACTTGTGTGCCAAGTTATATTGAAATCAGACCAAAACTGTAGAAGGAGTAGTGTTTTAAAGGAATTTCACAGAAAATTCTATTTTTAGTAACCATGGCAACACCGTTTATTGAAATCAAAAACCGATGCACTATTCTATGTATCTTAGTGTAGTCTACTAGTGTGCCAAATTATATTGAAATCAGACCAAAACTGTAGAAGGAGTAGTGTTTTAAAGGAATTTCACAGAGAATTCTATTTTTAGTAACCATGGCAACAACGTTCACCCAAATCAAAAACCGATGCACTATTCTATGTATCTTAGTGTAGTCTACTTGTGTGCCAAGTTATATTGAAATCAGACCAAAACTGTAGAAGGAGTAGTGTTTTAAAGGAATTTCACAGAAAATTCTATTTTTAGTAACCATGGCAACACCGTTTATTGAAATCAAAAACCGATGCACTATTCTATATCTTAGTGTAGTCTACTTGTGTGCCAAGTTATATTGAAATCAGACCAAAACTGTAGAAGGAGTAGCGTTTTAAAGGAATTTCAGAGAAAATTCTATTTTTAGTAACCATGGCAACACCGTATATTGAAATCAAAAACCGATGCACTATTCTATGTATCTTAGTGTAGTCTACTTGTGTGCCAAGTTATATTGAAATCAGACCAAAACTGTAGAAGGAGTAGCGTTTTAAAGGAATTTCACAGAAAATTCTATTTTTAGTAACCATGGCAACACCGTTTATTGAAATCAAAAACCGATGCACTATTCTATATCTTAGTGTAGTCTACTTGTGTGCCAAGTTATAGTGAAATCAGACCAAAACTGTAGAAGGAGTAGCGTTTTTAAAGAATTTCACAGAAAATTCTATTTTAGCAACCATGGCAACACCATTCATTGAAATTAAAAACCGATGCACTATTCTATGTATCTTAGTGTAGTCTACTCGTGTGCCAAGTAATATTGAAATCAGACTAAAATTGTAGGAGGAGTAGCGTTTTGAAAAATTGTTTACAGACAGACGGACAGACAGACAGACAGACAGACAGACAGACGGACGGACGGACGCATTACTATTGCATAAGCTCTTCTGGTCTCTGACCAGTAGAGCTAATAAGAAAATCAGCTACCGCTATTTAAATTGAAACTTTGCTAAATACAAATGTAATCAATATAAGTGCATAGATTGTGAAAATATAACTAATGGCATTCTTTAATCACTTGCTGTTAAAAACAAATCATCATATCAAACTACACCATGAATAAAATAATTTTTTTAATGGAAATGTGTAATTGTTTACCTTGTCTGTGTTAAATCTTCGAACAGTTTCATAAATGCATTTTGCTTCCCAATCATGAATCGAAATAAAAGACTGATTATTGTTCCACTTCCTCTAGTGTCAGGGATAAGTAATGATACACTATCAACATCTACATCTATATTACGTTCTAATAGGGCTTCTATTTCCTTGTTCATATCTTGTGTTTCGAAGTCGAAGTAAAACTTCCGGAAACATTTCCACAGTTCACAGATGGAGACCACTCCATCTTCGATCTCCTTGCTGAATGGATCTGTAGACAATAATGCTTATTTTACATAAGGTAACACAAACACTATATACAGAAACAAACATAGAAAAAAATAACGAGAGAGAGAGAGAGAGAGAGAGAGAAAATTCATTTTTTTTAATTATACAAATGTCTGTTACCTTGTCTACATTGCTGAAGGCAATCTCTTATGGTAATGGATCTGGCCTCTTCTCTGGTTATCTGTTTTCTGTATTTAGCTTTCAAGACACTCTGCATTCTTACGACAGCTGGGATATATCTTAGGTATCTCAAATAACAGTCCTAAAGGTAACGTGTAATACATGTAAATGAGTATGTATGTTATACGCTGCATCGTGCTACGAAAATGAAATGTCTTTAACAAATTTGATGTTTTTTATACCTGTCTTAAGAATGCATCTAGAAGAACAAATCGTTCCACCTCTGGTCCTAATCTGTCCCTTAACATATGAAACTCATGGACAAAGTGTTCAAAAGAGACTTTTATCCTATGTTGCCACATAAATTCACATGTCTGCATTTCATTAAAGTTAAACTGTTCACGTGTTGCGTCATCCAAATCAAACACTCTTCTTAAAACAGGATCTGAGACTGATAAAGATAAATGTTTTATTTTAAGATATTTCTTCAAATTTACAAAAAGAAGACTGTAATGATAATCATAATTTACAGGTGAAATGTCTACCTATGCTCGTGTCCTCTGATAGGATATCTTCACATGTCTTGAAAAGCTCTTTGCTCTTCTACATTTTGAGTAATAAAGAACATAAGTTTTGAAAATGCACTTTTCCTGGCAAAATACAAGAATTGTACATATGAGTAGATTACAGACATTGTTACCTGCAATACTTCCGCAATGTAAGTCATTGAAAACTCCATCTCCCAAAGTTTTCTTCCATCTTTTGTTTGCAAGATATGCACTGGTGTGTCCTGATTATTTCTACTGGCAACTAAAAAATTAAGAATAATAGTTGATTTAGAAAAAAAAACCCATCAAATTCAGTGTTATACAACATCGAAGCTTATCTTTTTTCATCCACTGATTTCATCCATACAAAAGAAAATTACAACAAATCTGATATTGCTGTGAATTTCATTTGACATTTTCAGGTGTTTAAATGCTTTAGAGCAAATTAAAAAAGTTCAAAATCACATATACCTGCAAGAGGCGGCTCTTCTCTCAGGAAAGAATGAACAAGTACATGAAGAAGCATAAAAACTCCATCTAAGCCCTGATCTAATGTTTTCCTCAATGTGCTTATATCCACCAGAATGTGATCCCAAAGGAATTGGGGAACATCATCCTCGTGTACGGTAGGATGAATCAATTTTGTCATTTCCTGAAACGATAAATTCATTTATTTAACTTAAAACGTGTGATATACTCTCTATTTTCAAAAAAAAAAGACCAAGGTAAATTTATTATCATATTATTTATTCAAGCAAAAATATAGGAAAGATAATGAACAAAACATGGAATGCACCACTGATAAATGATTAATATACCGAATGAGTATTTTTCCTAATATTTAGGGAGTTACACTTATGCTGTAAAACAAAATGGTTTCAAGAACTTACCTCAATGTTGTAATTAGCCCCTATAAACATCGAGAGATGTATCAAAACCCTTAAAACTGCATTAGAAATTGGAGAAAGATTTCTTTCCGAAACAGCGTCAAACGATCTGTCGCTTGGTGTCCCAAGAATATGACCTCTGCGACTTTGATCATCCCTAAATCATGTAATAAAAGATTTTCACAAATATCAAATATTCTCTCTGAGTTTAATTAGGCAATACCCTTACTTCTATCTAGAAAAAATGGTTTCATACATACCCAGTATACTTTACATTGTCTGCACGATTTCTTTCCAATTCCGAACCAATTTCTGCATTACATTCATAACAACGACCTTTCTGGGTAGGATTTCCACACTGAAAATTATAAACGGTTCATTTTCAAAACATTTGTCTATTTTTAAAGTCGCTCGCGTGGCCCAGTGGTTAGGGCGTCTGCTCTAGAGTCGCGAAGTAAGGAGTAAATCTTTACGTCGCGGTCGAATCCCACTGCGGGACCTGGAGACCGGTCCTTCGGATGAGACAGTATAAGTCGAGGTCCTGTGTCGCAGTAGGTGCTGGCAGGTAAAAGATCCCTCCCTGCTCAATGGCCCTAAGTGCCGAGTATAGGACAAAATTTGCAGCTCTCCACCGGCAAATGGTGGCGTCTCCAAATGAGTGAAAAATTCACGCAAGAGGGACGTTAAACAATATACAATCAATAAATCTATTTATTTTTAAATCTTATAAACAGAAACCAAAGAAGGTGGTGTATTTTTTTGTAAGAGTATTTCACTCTTTAAAAATAAAATATATGTTCACAAATATTACTCTCAACAACAAACTATAAATAGCCATAAGTCCTATTCTGCTATGTATTAAAAATTTATAAGTTGAACTAAAAATCCTAGAGAACCTATGTCAATATCCACACAGGAGCAAATTAAACAGACTTACATCACCAACTCCATAAAGATGACCGTTTGGACAACCTGATAAAAAATAAAATTTGATATATGATAATCTATTTTTAAAGATTAACTTTACTTTATCATGTATAGTATTTCTCACACTTTTTATTGAAATATATGAATAAAACTTGATACTTACGATACCACGTAAAGTTGTGGTGAGTTTTGTTGGCTATTTTCTCCATTCTCTGGAGTTCCTCCTGGATCTCTCTAGATAAACACTCCTCAGGCATTGTTGGTAAAAATACATTCTAAAAGAGTTCAAGAAGAAAAACGGTTTTTGTGGTATGGCTTAATTATTGCTATTTAAAATTCATTAATAAAATTTTAAACAATTATGAAAGTATACATAAATCAAATCATATATGATGCATATTAAACTAAACAAAGGACAAAATATAACAATACCTCTTAATCAAAATAATGTATTTTTATGTCAAAAATCAATTCCAAAGATTATTCTGAAAACAATGTACGATTAATTTTATATACTATTATAAAAAAAAACCTCCCCAGACCAAGTACGATGTAGCTTTTTAAATTATGGTAAATGTTATGTTGTATTCTATATAAAAAAAATTATACCTCCAAGACATTTGGTTCATATGCTAAGGCATGAAGTGGAAGCAATTGTCCTTTATTTCCAGTCACTTTTAAAACGAACATCAAATGGAGGATGAGAAATATAATACTTTCCTCATGCATATTATCACAAAGGCTGAGGGTAAGCTGTTCACACGATCGTCCAAGAGAATCGTCAAATATTTCCTCTAGATATCCCTGTTTAGAATTCATTTGATTAACAAAAATGAAAAAAAAAAATTAAAAAGAAAATTTAAAATAACAAAATAAATAAATCTTTTATTTTTTAAGATATGTATATTAAAAATTAAAGAAAATCAAATTATATTAAGAAACAATTTCTCACCATCACAATTTGGAGTTTCTGGTTTTTCAATAATTTCTGCAGCTTACATTTTAACTGTAAATTACAAAAAGTATATGTTCTTAAGAAGTATGGTCTTTTGTTATTCTAAGGTTTTTTTTATATAAAAAATTAAATTAAGAAAAAAAGATTCAACATGCCGCTTGTTAAAAAAAACAACTTACCTGTTCTTTTGTTTGCATTTTTTCTTCTTGAAACAATGACCGTGATTTCATTTCTCTACAGAGTCCCAGAAGGAAAAATACTTGAACTGTGCGGGATTTGTCTTTAAGCTTCAATTAATTAGAAAAAATAAAAAATTAAATACAAAATTATACATAGAAAAGTATAACAGGAGAGAGAGAGAGAGAGAGAGAGAGAGAGAGAGAGAGAGAGAGAGAGATTAAAATAAACATTTATGCATATGAAAGTAGTATTCTTTAGAGAATTTTTTTTTCTTCTTATTTCCCTAGCCAAGATATAAAATTGTAAAACTCATTTTAACCATACTCAGACGAGGAACAATGTTTGGATCAATTATGAATTTTCACTACATTAGGATACTTGTATTTTGATATGACTGTGTAAGTTTGGTTATTATGTTAACAGAATACTAGTACTTTGCATGGATATTTCTTCCACATTTTATGGATGTATTTTTAATTCCCTATTCTCTATCGACATACAGTGTACTTGCTAAATTACTTGGAAAAGTCTGACAGCTATGATAAGGAATAGGGCTGTTTTTTAAAAACAATTATTTTTCCTTATACATGTAGTCATAGGAAATTAATGAACCATTTTTTTTTGCTCTGACTTTAGAACAAGAACATGAGATAGAGCAGGCACAAAAATATTCTTCAAATTTTTTTCTTTTTCGCTTTAAAATCTAGAGCCCAGACCGTTAGCTCAAAGAGCCAATGACCCAGTAGAAGGCTCAAAATTTATCACAAACATACCAGCTGTTTGACTGATTAATAGTGTGGGGGGTGAGAATGTTTATACAGAATGCAATTATTTTGTTTGTTTTAGCCCAATCAACACATATGAGCAGGAATGGTGAAATTCACAATTTTTTCCCCTTTACCCATTGATGCCTCATATAAAATTTGTTCAGCAGTTCCAGAGAAAGAAGCTGACAATTTTTAAATGTTATCACATGCAAAACAATGGACGTTGCATGACGAGAGACAAAACAGATCACAATGGGTCACATGTGTGATACTGGTGACTTATCCCTGTTTTAAAGTTTTGAAACTCAGATATACATGCAAACGGGACAAAATCTTATTATTATACCAAAAAGTACCTTCAGTTTCTTTGACATGTCCGTGGGTACCAAAATTTCACTTATCTTCTCTTTTATTTTTCTGTATTGTTCTCCAAGTACGAGACAGTAATCTGGACTATATTGCTCTGTCTGTAATAATGCAATACACCTATTCATGATCAAGTGGGTATAAGAATTATCTAGGGATCCCTACTTCCGATGAATCAAGAAGCAGAACAAAAAACCAAAATATTTCATAAGATCGTCTCCAAAACGATGTATGGTAACAGCTACAACAAAATAAAACTGAAAAAAACGTGTACTCACACTTTCTTTTTCTCTATGATCTCCATCCTCTGATGGGAACACCCAAGATTCATTTGAGGATTGTAGATTTCTGTAGAATTCCAAACCGTAACGTCTGCAGATGTGCTTTAGCAAATACATTCTAAATTGATAAACAATTTCTCATTAGAAATAAATGAATTGAGAGAGAGAGAGAACGTTTTCTTTCACAGCATTTTAAGCACATATCGAGACAAATGCCTAACAATTTTGATATTCTAATTCATATCAACTAGATACTGTTTGAAATACCTACGTTATGAAGCAAATATCATCTTACTAAATTGTAAATATATTTTGATGATGTAAACGTTTGCTCCATGCTCTCTTTAATTTGCATATAAACATGAAAGGATATTTTGTATATGTATATCAGAATGAAACTATTCTAATTAATGTATGATTTCTGTATACGAATTTACCTGATGTGTTCCAAAGGCGAGTCGCACAAACTGGCAGACGTTTGGAATAAGTCAGTACACATAGCCAATTCAGATTCTGTAAATTCCCACGATGCATTTAACAGCTTGTGCAAATACCTGGCCGTCACTTGAAGACCAAAACGAGCTCTTGCAATGGATTTAATTTTGTCAACAGTCTTTCCTTCTGATTGTAACTGTTCCTTTGCTAATAACATTAATTCCTTTGCAAAACGAATTTCTCTCTCCATTTCAGACTGGAAACTCTGGGATAGTGATTCCTCCATTAAAGAGTCCTTAATAGATAAAAATAGAATAATTACAGGAATATTGTTCTGAAGAACTTTAAGCAGTTAGTATACAACTTCTTTAAAGCATCATAATGATGCAGTTAGCATACAACTTCTTTAAAGCATCATAATGATACATCTGTTACTGGTTGTTTGTGTTCGTTTTTGTATTTTCACAGCTTAACTCTCTCTCTCCATTCTTTATCCGTTTCTCTCGTTTAAGTTAACTGGATCATATTTTACCTTAGACTACAAGAATATTTTAAAAGCTTTTCAAATTATTTGTATATTTTACAGTCAATATTTCATGTAATTTTTAATTTGAAAATGGAAGACGCTGCATAATAATTACAGACTCTCGAACATGCAAATGTAAAGTGATATAAAATGAAGAGAAAATGAAAAAAAATGTATTTAAAGCTACTTTTTTTCCATTAAAACGTTATTGTTTTGTAACTTATTCATTTATTTTTTTCATGATTTGGTTGTTGATTAGCCTACTCCACTTTTTTGAGAAAGGCGTTAAGCAAATTCAAACCAATCATATGCAGGATAAAAACACTTGGATGAGAGAAAAAAGAATAATGTGTAAACCTTATGCATCTTATTTACTTCAGAACAAATTGCTTATCTATGTACAATATCCAAACCTGACTCCTTTTAAGGTCTTGCCTTTCTAGACATGAAATGGATGCATTAAAAAATAACAGCAGAAATACAAAGGAAGACAGACAATTATTTGATTCGCGAACATGACAATACCTCAATACATTGTATCAGCATTAAGCATATGTCTTTCATGTGTGACCCATGAATGCCGTCATCAAAGACCTCAACAGTTTCTTTCAAGAAAAGTTGCAGAACAGTATCCTCACTAAGAAATAAACATAACAAAGGATTTTCAAAGCTTGAGACATATAAAGCCCCATAACCCCCCCTCCCCCCAAAAAAGTCCGAGCATACAAACAGATTCAAATACAATATAATATAATATAATATAATAATATAATAAAAATGGAACAGCGAAATTAATTTGTATTATCTTTTAAACTGTAAATGCATATAGTGATTACTTAATCTGACAGTTTTTTTTATCTTCATTCTCCTAGATCTATCAATTTTTACATGCAGTGTATATAAATAAGTTCTTTGAGGACAGTTACTAAATACTCACTTGCTTCTAATAAGTAATTGCAACAGAAAAGATCTAAAAACTGGTGTGGTGTCCACTATTGTCTCAAATACACCAATATCTTTGGTTCTTATGATGGTCATATCAAGCTCAGGAATTTTCTTTTTGAAAACGACTAGCTGCAGAAGTTTTTTGCAAACTTCTTCACTTGGGGCTGTAGAGTTTTCAAAGCATAGTTGCGATTCGATTTGCATGTAAAACTTATTACTCTTTTTCTGGTAGTCCCAAAATGGCTTCATCTCTTCCCTGGTAAAAAAGTGTAAATTTAATGATATTTCAGATTTGTTGCGACAACGCAGTTACATGTATATCTTGAAAATTATGTTATTTATATAAGTATGCTCCATAGAATTCAGATTACTTATGAGATAAAAAGATAGACCAACTGTCGTACCTTTCTACTTCATTCCTGTCATATTCTGCACCATTTTCAAATTCCACCGAACACTCTGGACACTTTCCTATATCTCCTTCAGTAATTATCATTACCTGACAATTCTCTCTGCATATTCTGTGACCACATGGAAGTATAATTGGAGGAGTTGAACTTAATGTCTTTTGGCAATAATGGCATTTACCAAATTTGCTGCAAAAAGAAAAAAAAATCCTTCTTTTAAAAATTGAACACAACTTTGAATTTCATCAATAAAATTCAATTACTTTTTTTTTATTTTACATGTTGAAAAAACACTTTTCAAGTAAAACGAACAATATTGAATTTTCCCTTAAAAAAGAACAAAAATTGCATATGTTTTGCAAAGTTATAGGGATTTTTTGCAAAACTGAATATTCTTGAGCTGTTTCTCAACCCCACCCCTTTCAACTCATTTCGGACAAAAAATAAACAAAACGATCAATGAAAGGTTATTGCATGTACTCTGCATTTCCAATTTCGTTTGGGGAAATTGTATGAACTGCTTCTATGGTAAGCACATGCCTCGATTTTGCATCTTTGTCCTTCCTTAAGGCATTTACAAGATCATTTTTAATTAAAGAAGCATCTTGTTGATATTAAAAAACTTAGTTTTTAATCGATCATAAGGAATTTTTTTTCTATGAAGGTATGATATATCATCTTTGGGTAGTTGTAAGAAATGTTATCGCAGGTCCTTCATTCTTAGTAACTCTTTTTCTGATTTTCTTTCTCGTTTTCTCTTGCCAAAAATACTATATAGACACATGAGAAAGGCGAGTGTACTATGATAATGGTGTAGTGGGAAATATATGACGGGTGTGACAAGTCGGCAAGAAATGACCACTCCTCAATGTCACCTGATCCCTCCTCTGATGTTTTTGAGGTCCGTGTTTGCTTTTGAACTTTTGAGCTTGAAGGATAAATTTCCAAACTGACATCTGATAAAGATTTCAAACACATGCCCCCCCCCCCCCTCCAAAAAACAACAACCGATATTTCATTTATCTCTAGGTAATTGACATAAAATCAGGTGGAAAAATCTATAAACTTTAACATTTGCAATTATTACCCAACATTTTCAATACAACCTTTCTTAGAACAACACAATTAAATTTCTAATAGAAAGTATCTTACTCTAAAAAGTCCTTCATGGCTTTCTTGTTTGAAGCCTTCAGAAATTTTTCAAATTTTTCTACTGTTTCAATTGATTTGAAGTTTGCATTTTCTCCAAGATACTGAAAAATAGACAATAAAAGAAATATTTATAAGACAAATATATTAAACATATCCGTAGATATTCATACTTCTTTGAGTAATGATTGTGTGTTAAATTCAAATTTTAAAATGTATATTGAATTTCCTAAATGTGAATAGATATACAGTATTAGCGTTTAATATATGAAAAATAAAACTATACCTTCCAAAGAAATTTACAGTCTTGGTTGATCAATTTATCTGTTTTCTCGTCTCCTGCTATATTTTCTATATATAATTTCAATGCTGTGATTTTTGCCCATGTTGACCTAGTTGAAACGAAATTCCAGAATGATGAATAAAACAAAATGAATTTCAGAGGAAACGGGAAAAAGTAACATAATATTACATTAACCAAGTTAATATTTAAATTTAACAAATGGAATATTAAAATATCAGTAGATCAAATTAAACCTCATTTGTTCAATAAATCGACGTCTAGGATTGCCTGGTTGTAGGGTTTCAATTGATTGATGTAAAATCCTTTCAATAAAAGGTTTGTAAAACTGAAATTGCTGCATCCAAAATGTCTGCCCATCACGTGATTCTATTGCATCTATGGGATTTAGTTTTTCCAAAAGGTATTTTACAGATCCAATGTCAAGCATCTAAAAGAAATTTAAAAAAGTGTTATTTTTCATCGAGTATATTTATATATCAACAAAGTGAAATGGGGAAAAAGTATAGTATACTTATATTGGTTTTATTACCTGGTAACTGTTTTGGACATGTTCAAAGAATTTTTCATTCTGTAGATGTTCGAGCAGAGATGCAATGTCACAAAAGGTCTTCACAGAGTCTTCCATTCCTTTAAAAACGCTATGTATACACACTAGACGGTCTGACAATGATTCTGGAATTCCCATCGGTCTCTGTTCAATGTTAGCAACCAAGGATTCACAAATCAGCTGTAACGATGTATGAGAAATAATACAAACTGATGAGACATAATAAAAACTTTTGTACACTTTGAAAACGGAACTCGATAACTACGAGTATTCCATTCTTTTACAGTATTTATACTGTATTTTTAAAGCAAATTCAGAAAATCTGTTGTGTCACCCGCTTAAGTATGAATGAACATGCACGGATCTAGAGGGGGTCATATGGATCAAGGGTGGAGTAGAGTGAGGTTGGACTTTAGGAGAGGCGGGTCTGTAGGGAGTTATGATATAAAATGTCTTTGCAAAAGAGATAACACACGAAAATGAAAACTTTACACAAACAGAATGTATGAATTTTTTCCCTCTCCTTTCACCTTATGAACTCCAAACCAAGAGAGACTTTTCTTACGCCAAAGTTGTGGTAAAAAAAATTAATGTCAACGATTACAAAAACCAAGGGACTGACAGAAGAACAAAGAGACAGATACACAAACCAAAATGATTATTCCACACTTGCAGTGAACATATCTTTTGTCAACAATAATTTTCAAAGAGATAATAAAAGTACGCAACAGTTTGACAGTGGTGTATTCGAAAAAGGTATCCGACCCATATTAGGTCCAAAATTTCTAACCTTAAATATCAATTGTTTGTAAAATATCCTAAAATTATTTTAATACATTTTAGAGTAGAAAGGGATTTACCAAGAGTATTTTCAAAAAATTTGATTTCCTAAGCAGAAATTAATTATTGAAGATTGCATTGAAGTCTATAAAAGGAAGCAAGTTTTCAAAGATAAAAAAAATAAATACTTCAAATATCAAAAAATCCTGTGGTGGAAAGATGTATTTGATCATTGGGAACAGAAAAACAATTAGAAATAATTTTTTTACTTGACAGATTTTTTTAAAATTAATTTTTATTGAGTACAAGAGGCCCACGGGCCTTATAGGTCACCTGAGCATTATGCAACAACTTTCCAGTTACAGTGTATTGAATTTGATTCATGTTTTAAGCCAGATGCTATATGGCATTCACAATTTTAAAAGGGCGCCATTGATCATCATAACAATAAACTTAGCAGTTTCTTAGCTTGGTTACTGAATACCCATACACAGGGTAGGGGAACAAAAATGCACTCCAACTAATCAGTAATATTCATCAATAATCAGTAGTGCCCCTAACACTCTGACATAAACCCCTGACCCTAGGTTGCACAAATTTTTAAAAGGCACCCTTAAAATTGCCTATCAAAAAGTAAATAAATGTTTTATAAATACAAAGGACCAGATTTCAAACAATTAATTCATTTTCAGTATATAAGTAGAGCCCCCCCCACCCCTGACCCTGGGGCCGTGAAATTCACAATTCTGCAAGATTAGGGCCCTTGCTCATCATAACTATATAGATAGTTCATCTGCTTCATACCCAGAGAAGAACACTTTCAAAGATTTAATGTATTTTCACTATATAATCAATAGAGCCCCACCCTAACACCAGAACCCCAGACCCTGGGGCAATGAAATTCATAATTTTAGAAGAGGCATTCTTGCTCATCATAACTATGCACTTACTTAGTTTATTTAATACCTAGGAGCAGAGAAGAAGATTTTCAAAGAATTCATGTATTTTCACTTTATAAACAATAAAGCCCCCTCCCCCACCAGAACCCCAGACCCTGGGGCAATGAAATTCATAATTTTAGAAGAGGCATTCTTGCTCATCATAACTATGCACTTACTTAGTTTATTTAATACCTAGGAGCAGATAATAAGATTTTCAAAGAATTCATTTATTTTTACTTTATAAACAATAAAGCTCCCCCCCCCCCCACCAGAACCATTGATGCCGGGGCCATAAAATTCACAATTTTTGTAGAGGCACTCTTGCTCATCATAACTATGCACTTAGTTAGTTTATTTAATACCTAGGAGCAGAGAAGAAGATTTTTAGAAGATTTTTAAAGAATTCATGTATTTTCACCATATGATCAATCAACACCAGAACCCTTGATCCTGGGGCCATAAAATTCACAATTTTGGTTGAGGCACTCTTGCTCATCATCACTATGCACTTAGTTAATTTATTTAATACCTAGGAGCAGAGAAGAAGATTTTCAAAGAATTCATATAATTTCACTATATAATCATTAGAGCCCCCCCCCCCCCCCCCCGAACACCAGAACCCTTGATGATAGGGCCACTAAATTCACAATTTTGGTTGAGGCACACTTGCTCATCATAACTATGCACTTACTTAGTTTATATAATACCTAGGAGCAGAGAAGAAGATTTCAAGGAATTCACATATTTTCACTATATAATCAATAGAGCCCCCCCCCACACACACACACCAGAACCCTTGACCCTGGGGCCATAAAATTCACAATCTTATTTTAGGAACACTTGCTTATCATAACTATGTACTTAGTTAGTTTATTTAATACCTAGGAGCAGAGAAGAAGATTTTCAAAGAATTCATGTAATCTCACTATATAATCAATAGAGCCCCCCCCCAACACCAGAACCCTTGACCCTGGGGCCATAAAATTCACAATTTTGGTAGAGGCGCTCTTGCTTATTGTAACTATTTACTTACTTGGTTTATTTAATACCCAGGGACAGAGAATAAGATTTTCAAAGAAATCATGTATTATTACTATATAATCAATAGAGCCCCACCCTAACACCAGAACCTCTGACCCTGGGGCCATAAAATTCACAATTTTTGTAGAGGCACTCTTGCTCATCATAACTATGCACTTAGTTGGTTTATTTAATACCCAGGAGCAGAGAAGAAGATTTTCAAAGAAATAATGCATTTTCACTATATACTTATTTAGCCCCGCCCTAGCACTAGAACCCCTGACCCCAGGGCCATGAATTTCACAATCTTGGTAGAGGACTCAATGCTGATTACAATCATGCAAACAGTTTGACTGCTTGATGTCCAGGAGTAAAGAAGAAGATTTTTAAAGATTGCATTAATTTTAGTGGTTTTGGCCCCACCCCTCAGGCCCCAGGGGGGCAGGGATAATGAAATTCACAATTTTTGTTCCCCTTCACCCATAGATGCTTTGTGCCAAATTTGGTTGAAATTGATTGAGTGGTTGCAGAGAAGAAGCTGAAAATGTTCAAATGTTAACACACGATGGACGACGGACGACGGACGTCGCACGACGCACGACGACGGACGAAAACGGATGGCAATAGGTCACCTGAGTTTACTCAGGTGACCTAAAAATCAAAGGGAAATAACTCGTCAAGGGCAAGAAAAGGTCATAAAATAAACATGTCCCACTCTTACATTCTGATACTAAAAGATGAAAATTAGTTCTAACTACACCGAGTATTCAGCCCATACATATCTATAATGCATTCAATTCCATTGAATCTTGGGCTAATATGGATCGGATACCTTAAACAATAGAAATTCAAAAAAAGGCAAATGCAGCTATGAATTTAAGTCAGTGCAATTAAACCAATTTAGCTGAAAAAATCAACTGACCTGCTTCTCTCGAATTGAAAAAGTCGTGCACTTCATATTGACAAAATCGGATATGTATAATTGCATTGCAGGGATCGTATCTTTTCCCTTGGTGACATCATTGATAATCATAGCCATTGGTGACTGACTGAATAATTCCTCAGCTGAATTCCCTGTGAAGTAATTTACTTACAATATCAACCACTCATCACTCATATTTGAGATTTGCCCGCTTGTCATAATTAAATTGAAATTAAACACAGCAAATCTTATAGATGTTAAAAACCAGAAATATACTCAATCTTTATACATAGGAATCAAGTTAAATGAAAAGCACTGACTAAAACTCCTCTATGTATACCTATTTTACTCTCATAGCAACTTTGCAGAATCTTCTCTACGTTCTCAAAGAGCAACCACGAAAACGGAAAAATCGATTTGAATCCAATGTTCTTTCCTGTGGATTGAGTAACAAGTTCCCTTTCTTTATTTAGAATCTTTGCATCAACTGCAGAAAACATTCTCATCCAAGCTATGTACACCCAGCTACACTCACAAGCATTGTCTAAAATTTGCAGGTTGTTGTTTGTGTCCAGGAAACAGATAATCCTGGCTAAAAGAGGTATTACTCTTCCCTCAATGCTTTTGCTACAGCTTGACCTGTGGCCAACATAGAACAAATAGCAGTTTAACAAGGGCATGAAAGATGCTTGTGATCATGTTTGTTAGAATTTTGCTGAATATCCTGCTCTTCTTTACAATAGATTTCTTTAAAAAGGAAGTAATGTTAAAATTGCAATAAATATCCATGTCATATTATAACTATGTCACTACCCTTTTTAATTTTTTGAAATAAAATTTTCCTTTTATTCCATAAATAAAAATCTAATAAAATGACTGCATGATTATAAAATAAAATGTTTGAAGTACATGTTTAAAGTATGTTTGAGATTTCGCTGACTTGATGAAAAGGAAGTTTCTGCATACTTATTTGAAAGATTTTCAGGAACTCGGAACACGATCATGTCTTCGAATAACTTGAAATATCAATGATGCAGAATATACCTTAAAGTGCCGCATTTGCTAATGTTCCCTATATCTGCCGCTCTTTGAACCAAGCTAGAGTGATCAAGCATTGACAGGTCTTCCTCCTCAAGAGCTATAATTTTCACTAGATGCTGCATGACTACATATCCAAAATGCCCTATGAGAATATGAAATAAAAATATATAGAGAACTTTTCACAGATATTTTGACTTATCAAATTACTTGACTTATTTCCCTACCCTGTGTTAGGCCATGTTCTTTTTCCAATAGGGCAAATACGGTTTTTACTCTGTCTATAGACGTTTCACCAGATTCTGACATATCAGAGATGGATGCTAATGCCGGATGAAGACAATCAAGAAAAAGTTTCCGCATGTCCACTTTGTAAATCTGTTTTTGAAATTGTAATGTATAACATTTCATATTGCTATAAGAAAATCTACTGAAATTTTTTTTCTCTTTACAGTCATCTAAAAGAATGAATAAATCTTCAATTTTTAAATACTAGTATTGCACCTTTTTTTCTCCATCTGACTGCATTTTAAGACTTTCATTTAATAGTTCTGAAAGAGTCATTTCAAACAGCTTTTGGGCACTTGGCAATGTCGATAAACGTAGATCATCGATGTGGACAGAACTCCATAATCCAGTCTAAAAAAAAACATAAATCCCAACATTTTATCTTCATTACAAAAAAAAAAACAATAATGTCAACAAAGAAAATTTGGCAAGAAAATCATTCTGAACATGTAGAGTTGCTAGGAAATCAGCGTAAAGAAGCAAACATTTAAGCATACTAATGACTAAAAAGAAGATAGAAAAAACATTCAAAATGCTAACCTGAAAACCTGTAAAATAAGCTTTACACACTCGAGACAGATGGACAAGGAATATAATGCAAGATTCTCGAGAGTTGTTCATTTCCCTCTGAACACAATGTCGTGCGCATGACACCAGGTTAGAATTCTCGTCACCTGTGTCACACTGAATAATGAGGAGTCCACATTTTTCCTGAGCAATCTCTCTGTCAAGCAATAATTATAAAATTAACGTTTTGTCTTAATCAACAAAAAATAATTATCAACTTACAACATTTATTGCGAGAGTATACCTAATTTGTCGCGAAAATTGTTGTTCTGTTCCAAAAGCTTGTAAAGATAGCAGAGCTATTTTCCCTTGTAAGATTGGAATATTGTTTTCTATGTCCTGCTTGTCCTCCATTGACAATAACTTGGAATGAGTAGTGACCTGGTAGAAAAACATAATTATTTCAGATATATTCCATCCACATATAATCAAAATAAAAATACAAGGGTTGTTCATGAAGTTCGTAGACAAATGTATAAGCCATAATTTTCCTTATAATAACAACAACAGTGACAAACGTTTACAATGGTATTTTGATAAAGACCAAGATTAAGTAAATGCGTAGGATTCAAGAGACACTAATCCTACGAACAATACATATACAAACTTTGTATATGTAAGCCACAGTGTCATGTCTGACGAAAATCTACCAATTAAACAATGAGCGATTAAATAGAATTGGAAAGTTCCATAAATATAATTGCAATAGACGATAAATTGAGTAATAGCACTGTCCTTTTTATGAAAAAATTTGCATACTTTGATGCAAAACATATGAAAATATTACCTGGATAAAATGGCCTCTAAATGTTTCTTCATCGATGCGATGTTGTAAAAATGAACAGAGACTATCATGGCATTGCTGATCAAAGTAAACCTTAGTATATTCCTCTCTAAACATGCTCAGGCTACTGAATTGAAGGCGGAAAAGAGCGTCTGGCGTACAACTCCAGAGCAACAAATATTTGGCTGTTCGGAGCACATCCTATAAATGTAATAAAATATCTGATAAAATAATATTTATTTATTTTATGTTGTTTTATGTCCCTCTCCAGAATTTTTCACTCATATCATGACACGATGATATAATAGATGCAATAATATGAATGGCAAATTACGGTAAATACATTACAGACTTACAGTTGTTTAAAAATAACCTCTTCTTGAAAAGAAAAGTTTCAACTTATACATGTTATTCTTGTCGTCGTTATAAATAACTACTATAAAATATTTTCACCACTACAACAGAAACCAATACCTCCATAAAATCGTCGTCTTCATTGTCATGTTTTTGTGTGCAAAGATCCCATGATTGAAGAATGACTCCAGGGCATGTGTCTTGATTGTATCCGATGAATACTTCCTCCGGACTGCAGGATTTAACATGTCAATCAAACCATTAACATATACATTGTAAATCTTCATTTTTTTTATATAGGATGTTTGAAAACATTTTAGTCGAAACAGAGACATATAATATTAAATGTCTCTGGTCGAAATTTAAACATAAAGATTCCCAAATTCATCTTTAAATATTTTACATTACTATGAGCTATTGCACAAAAATTGTTGCTCCTTTTAGCTAAAGACAACAATTGTGAGATCTGAAGAGGATAATTTTTTACCCAACACTTTGCCTGGGACATGCAGAAAATTCTTCCACCCAGTGAGTAAGTTCCTTAGAAAGTCGCAATTGAGCATTTGTTAAGAGTCCTTCCATGGTAAGAAAGTGTTTCTCCAAACGATTGATTAGTGGGATGGGGAATTCCTTATACACAACTCTTTTCTCTGCCACAACTATAAGTCTAAGGAATGTAAATTGATTATATATTGAAGTATATGACATCCCCATAAAGTTACATTGTAATTCAAATTTAAGTTAAGATTTTGAAGTTAATTCAAATTCATTTAAATCATTTTCCAGCACTACTTCTTTCTGTTAGAATAGTTTTTATTTTGTACCTAAAGTTCCTATCCACCTTGCACTTGACTCTGTGAGTTCCAAGTCCTAAGTCGATAAATCTTTCAGAGCCACTTTCCATGTAATACTAGAAATAAAAATAATAAAGGAATTTTTAATTATAGAAACAATATGCATGTAAAATTTTGCCATGTGAAATCAAGTCAAATGCAGATATGATATAATAGAAGAATAAATAATAAAGGAAATGTCTAATTATTGACATAAAATATATGTTTAATTTTGCAATGTGCAATCAAGTGAGTTACAATCTTCTTTCGAAGGAAAAGGTGCATATTAAACAGGGGTACCTGATTTAATGCATCATACAAGCTTTCATAAAGGTTTTCCAAATTCAACAGAACCACTGTCTTTCCTGTCTCCATGAAGACTTTGATTCTATTTATATTCCGACAAATCTACATACAAAACAAAGGAAGACTTTTTATACATTTTTTTCCATACAACTATTTATATTTTCTAAATTAAAATTTTTAACAATAAATTTGATACCTCAATGTACTCTTGGTCCTTTGGAAAGCTAGAGCCAAACAATATTTGTGTATTTTCATCGGTTGTAAGTAACTGCTCAAGCAAAGTAAGGGCACTGTAATTTTCAGTCAGCAGTAAAACATATCGAGACTCACTGGAATGTAATCACAATAATCACTGAATTCATCTTCCATTAGTCTTCTACAGTTTACCTCTTAGAATGAATATTTCCAAACAAAAGAAATGTGGAAAATAAATGTAATCTGTCCTATTTCACCGTTTTTTATGTGTACAAAACAGAGGATATGCAATGTTTTGTAGATAGATTTGGACCAAATCGTTTAAACACTCATATCTCATTTTTACAAAATCAATTTAATGACGCAAAATCATACACTTTATGTTATTAGACACACACATAAGCAAACATAATAATTAAATAAAATCTGTAGAACAGCGTGCTTACACATGTTAAAGTGCATGTATGGTATAAAGATTGAAAAATAGATGCTCCTTAAATGTACATTGCTCTAGAAAAGATACATTGTATTTAGGGTCCAGATGATAAAGAATAAAGGTTCTTTACCTCTCCACACTTCCGTGTTCTAGACATTTTCGCACTAGAGCTACATCAGCTGCAAAACCATCCTCTTCATCCTAAAATATCCAAACCAAATTCAAATTAAACATTATTAAATGTATCTTTCCCGATCGGAATCAGACTTATGTTATTAAATAAAGCTTCGAACCTTAAATTCTTGTAACTCATCCACATAGTCAGAAAACTCTGCAACTGGATCGAGACCTTGCAATCCTCCAAAATTTCTTCTTATAACATATGCAATGTCCTTTGGTGTTGGAATTTCCATTGACCGGGAAGCGATGGCAAACATCATTTTTACCAAGCTTTAATACATATTGTAATATGTTTGTAACTTTAAGAAGGACATAAAGATAAATAAACACAACAGAGGTCCGTGGGCCCTAAGTTTATGAATTTTCTTATCAGCAAATGAAAACGCACCTATTTATAAATGAATAACTATTGTCTCATATCAACTAACAAGAGGTGAATGTTCCACAAGCTCACCCTTGTTGTCATCTCATCCTATCCACTTCGTGAAGGGGTCATCATTTGATCAATTTGAATAGCCTTAGGTTGCTTCCATATACATATGATTAATCAAGGCTTTGCTTTTCCTTGGATGAACATTTATAAAGACTTATAAAGAAGAGTTTTGAAAAATGCCCCCAAATTTTCAGTATTTTTTATATTTTTTTCTTGGAAAAGGGTTGACATTATAAGTTGTACGCAACTTAAGTCTGATCATCTAAGGATGCTTTGCTGCATTTTGGTTGAAATCGACCCAGCGTTTCTTTAAAAGTAGTCGAAAGTGGGAGAAGTTCACGGACTACAGACGTACGCTAAATACACATTAGGGCTAAAATGATAGAAAACATCTCAATCTCTGGAAGGCAACATATCCGAAATTTATCTGATGATTTCTGATTATAATTGTGCAGATTTTACCTGTAAAAGTCGCGTAGTCCAAAAAATTCTCTTGCTTTTAATTGGTCTCTGGATGTTGTACCAAATAATTCACCGGTAGTTATTGTTTTCTGGAAAACTTGAAGATAACCCTTTGCCAGTTTAGGAATGAGGTCCTCCAACAATTCTCGCACTTCCTCGTTGGTAGAGCAAATTCCTCTTTAAAAGAGAAAAATTATGCATAATTATTATAAATATTCATTTTGCCTAAAGAATTATGAACGAATAAAATTACTCAACAAAACATATTCTAATGCATATTTCATTTACCTTGCACTTTCAATTAGTTCCTCTTCATCTGGAACCTCTCGTTGTACTAGAATTCCTCTGTTCATTTTGGCTGGATCAAGGGCCCAATTGGATATTCCAATAAATGCAACCTATAACAGTTAAATTTAACTATTTTTCTGCAGGCAAGGGGCTAATTCTTATTTAAAATCATTCACTGAATTACTATTACATTGGCATGAAAAATGTTCCTATCTTTCACTTAAATAATTGGTCCTTCATAATATGAATTTTACATATATTAAGCTGTAATTTCTTATTCTCTATTTTTACGTTATCTATATTTATATTATATGCTGTTTTACATGGTTTTAGCGTACTGTGACATTTCCTAAAACCTTGAAAATAAGTTTCAAGCCGCGGCTTTTTTAAGTTTTGGTAAGAAAGTGGAGGCTTATTTTAAAACCGTCCTATTTTCAAATCGCGGCTTATTATCAATTAAAAAAACTGGTAAGCGACGAGAACATAATCACGACTTTTTATCGATAAAATAAATGGTAATCGACAGATTGAGAACTACTTGTTCATTCTAATTAAAGAATATTCAGATTAACTACCGTGAGAGTTAAAAGAATAGTGTTCTTGTGTCGTTATTCTGTGCACCCGTTTTGAAAACGATGACCTTTGAAAATGATGAGTTTCTAGCAATGGACACCGCAAAACCTACATCGTGAATTTATAGAAAATTTATGACTGTTTTATTTTCAACATAGGCTTATTTTCGAGTAATTTTCAATGCAAGAAATAGGTGGCTTATTTTTAAAACATGCTTATTATAAAATCCGTCTTATTTTCAAGGTTCTAGGGTAAATGCTGATAATTGATTTTACTTTTTTGTGTTCTTGATACTCCTCATCGTCTGGGCATCCGTCCTCCAACAGCGGATGAAGTGCCTAACAATATAAAAAGACCAACAATATGTAAAGGGTGCGATTTATTAGATCAACATAACAAATATTTCGAAATATTGAAGACGTTCTTAATAGTACATGTTCAACAAATGAACGTTGCATTTGACAGTATTTTTTGTTGCTTTATGTGAAACTTCAAAGTACAATGTTTAAAACAATAAAATCATACGGGAAAAGAAAAGAAAATACTACAAAGGGGAGCAACTCCTGCAATAGAATATATACTGTATACAGGGAAATTTTAGTTTGTAATCGCCCTCCAAAATTTTGAAGGGCAAACAAAAAATTTAAAACGGTGTGAATTCAAATTACACAGCATAATTTCTTAAACAAAACTATGACTGGGCGAATTTAAAACGGAACAAAATAGTTCGCAAGCGCAAAAGGGCGAAAATAACAGGGGGCGAAAATAACCCTGTATACAGTAGATCCTGAAATGAATGACCATTTTGCTAAGCACGACCCTTTTAACCGGCGCGATTCAAAACCTGATAAATTTCTATTTTCTCTCCCAACTTTGTCTCTAGGTGGATAATAAAGGCTTATCGGCAACATCGTCAATAAACAAATCCTTTATGGAGAGAAAAAAAATGTAGTAAACTTTGTTCCTAAAATTAAGTTTTGTAAAAATAATATGCTTTCTCGTTTTTGTTTATTCAACTTGCGTTTAAGCAATTTCAAAACATATGAATACAACATTTTTATATAATAATCATGCCGAAACCTTTCGATCATCTTTATTTCTCTTAAAATACTCATCTAAATGATAGAAATGGATTTTTTAAAAAAAGATCCTTCTAAGTTTAATGTATTCCCCTATATTTAGACTTATGGGGTGTCAAGGAAGGGTCTTGAACTGGCGACTGTCCGCCAACTGAACAAATACACAACAAATAATTAGAAAAACTCATTATTTTACAATAAAACATTGTTTAAAAAAAACTAATTTGTGTTTGTATTCCATGCTTTTTTCGCTAGTGTATATTCAATTAGTATTGAAGCAAATTTCAAAACTTTTGAAAACGACATTTATATAATATAATTAAGCCAAAACCATAAAATTCTCTTTTTTTTGTCCAAATGAAAGAAATGATATGCCCATGTAAAATAACAAATTTCTGCGGAAATTAAAGAAAAAAAATAATTAAAAATGTTAAACAATTAAAAAAGCTTTAAGGATTTCGAATTAAACTATCATTTTACATATTATTGAAAGACGTACTTTGAGAGGCATTCTTGGAGAATCTTCTGCTAAACCAACTTCATCTAGAACAACCACAGAGGTAAATCTGCTCAGGTCTTTGTTCTCTTGAAGCTTACTTGCTTGTTGAAATGTCTTTAAGATGCCCTCAGCAGTAGCCAAAGGGCTACATTGGAAGGAGATGATTTGAACCTAGGAACAGGATTCAAAATTGTGATATACAATAAAACATGTGCACACAATAAACAATAACTGAATTACTAAAGTATGAAACTTCATACAAAAAATTTACTGTGAAGTCATCATTATTATTTCATGGGACAAACTTATCCCTGAATTATCATCCACATTACATGTACCAACCAAATTTTCCTTGCTCACGAGCATGACCCCCGATACTCATATAATGATTTCAGAGAGTTTTAAGTAAAAGTCTGAAGAAGCAGGTCTTCACCTGTTTGAAATTTTTGAATAATTCAGAATGGGATTCCCTTCCTTGCATGTTTTGATCAAGTATTGACTTTGAAAGAGATTTTGAGCTCCCTGGCTTTCCAACAAGAAATAAGGGAATGCCAAGCTCCACGCATACAACCATCATGAAAAAGTTCTCTCGTAGTGCCATATTTTTTGCAATGTTTTCATTCAAGTTCACTTTCTCGAGGAATATTCTTTGACATCTACAACAACAACAAAAAATAATAACTATTCATTTGTCCATCAAGAATGTTGATAATTAATCAAAATATTTTTTATATTTACTTTTTTATCTCTTTTTCTATCTGTCTTCCACCACTTTGTAGATTCAAGGGATGTCTAAAATATCCTGATATGTGATTTCTGTACACTTCGCGATTCTTCAAAGATGCGTGATAACACACTCCAAGGGCAAGTATAATTGATCTTGTAATTCTCTCATGGTCTCTTGTCTTGACATAAGAAAAAGTAATTATTAATTGTAATCTTGCCAATAAATCAAATTGCTTCAAAAATACAATAAAAGCATTCATCATTTACATACATGCATATAATAACCATTAAATGTTTTAGTAATGACTTGTGACAAATGGAAAAAGAAATGTTCTAATTATACAGTATGGACATGTACCTTGAAACCTTTATGAACAAATGTCTGAACAAATTCATGAACAACAACTTCATCTTCTGATGTTTCTGTGTCCGAATCAGTAAAATCGTCGATGATTTCATCCATTTCTTCAAAAAGGTTTGTTTGGTTGTAAAACCAGCCAAATACTTTCAAAGTTCTTTCGACATCTCTAAGGCTAACAAAACTGCACTCATCCTATTAAATAAATCTTAAGATTCAGACACTACTTTAACTACTATTGTACATAAATTAATATCTTTTGTGTTTCTAATTTTAAAGAACACATTTTGTACTCTTTCGTTTAAAATCATGTGTGCACATCGTGATTTTTTATTACTTGTTTGCTGTTTATGTTTCTTGCAAGATTGTTTCATTCATAGCAAATATGCATGTATGAAGTACTGTATGAGATGAAGATTGTTTATGGAATTGGAAATTCAGGGAAATCACCTGTAAATCCCGCATGTAATCCTGAGATGCCGTTAAAATATCTGCAAGAACCATCTTTGTATCTGCATTTGTTCTAGGAATAGTGCCATTTTGCATCTAAATTTTGGATAGAAAGCAAAATGAATAAAATAAATAAGTACTGAACCAAACAATGTATATACGCGTATTCATTCAAATTATAGCTCTTTTATGACGTGGACCTAAAAATATATAAACTTCACAGAGAAGCATCTCGACTGAGTACGAAGTTGATATATTCATATATGTATTAAATTAACCGAGGAGCTGCAATTGTTACATTTTTTTCTAAATAAAAAAAGAGAAATTTTTTAATTACATTTTGAAAGAAGTCTTAAAACCATTTACTAAATCCTTCAACGCATCTTGATTTCCCCTTTAATTGTAGCAACTGAATTCATTTTTGTTAAATATAAATTTGCAAAACAAGTAACAACTAAATTAACAATTCAATGAATAAAAGAGAAACGAATTATATTTTCATTCTTGAGCGCCTTAATTTGTATGTTCATACAAGTAGCATTTACAAATTTATAGATTATTAAGATATTAAAATCAGGAATATTTGATGATAACTCCCGAACTATTACGTACGTATCGGTTCAACATTTGTATTATGTAGAGTCTCTCAACAGTGGAGTCTAACTGTCCAAAGTCCCACACTAATGGGATCATGCTTTGAGGAAGAGGCTGGACTCTGTACACAAGATGCCTCATTGGTATGCGACCTAGTTAATTAAAGAATTAATATAATTAACGTTGTTATTACTATATAATGTGATGTTGTTGTTGTTGTTTAAGTGGAAATTTTAGCAAGATAAAAATTTATCGATTTACCTTCAAAGTCAATAATATATTTTTAGCATCAAATAATTTAAGCGATTCAAATAAATGTCTTCAAAAGGGTTAAAATTACACAAAATACGTTGGAATATAAAATGTACAAAATATATGCAAAAAAAAGTAGAAAATCAAATGTAGAAAACACATAACAAAAACAAATTTATAACTTTTTATATTAGAAACTTTTTCATGAAGAACATACCGAGTCTATCAGTTGTTTCCTCCACGTTCACATGATAGCCTAATCCTGCTTTTTCTAGTCTTGCAATCATCTCATCTGGGTGTCTAAAATGCCATATTATTATATGTTTATAATCTCAAAAAAGTATTTAAAATTATAAAAGTTTGAGAAAATTTTGTCCTTTTGTGTTAATTTATCACAATAAACAACACACTGCTTACTTTCTGTAAGGATTGCATGCAGCAACTAATTTAAGATTCTCATTCAAATTAATCGGTCTTCCATCAATCGTCCCATCACACATGATTTCTTTGATGCTGCCAATGGCTTCAGTAGTGTTTGCTTCATCGAAGAATAAAACAGTAAATATGTGATTCCCACTGGACTCGCAGTTTGCTTTTGCTGTTTCTTCAGCTTTCCTCACTTTTTCAATTATGTGTTTCTTCGTTGTACCACCATGTACCTTAAAGATTTCAAATCAACTGATTTAAAAAAAAAGAAATTAGAGTTGCTCCCCCAAAAAACGTTGAAACACATAATAAAACAGCACTTTAAATCTGTATTTGTTCAAAATGTCCTTATAATTATATATTATTTATCATATTCCACATTTTAGATTTAGTGATTAAATTTTTAGCAATACTATGTACAACAGTTTAAGAGGAGTGGTGATGACAAAATATTTTCTCTTGGAAAGTGTGCTAAAACTGTAATATACACAATTTCATATTGTGTCCTAAATTCTGCAAAGTTTAAATATAATGAATTTCATCTATATAAAAGGTAAAAAACAATTTACGGAAAGTTTTGGAAAAAATAATGGAATCCGAATTTCCTGGTAATATACACATCTACATATTGTGTCCTAAATATATGCAAAGTTTGACGAAATTCTGTGCAGCGGTTTATGAAGAGTTTAGGAAATGGTTCATCTCTATATATATAATTATAAAAAAAGTCCCAGAAAAATAAAATAATCACATTTTTATCTGCAAAGTTTACCTGTGCAGCAGTTTTAGTTGCGCTGACAAACTGTTCATCTCTATATAAAAGGTATGTCCAAATGCCAGCCCCTGGAAAAAATAAGGGCGGAACTGTATGCACATCTACACATTGTGCTAAATACCTGCAAAGTTTGACGAATTTCTTGAGCGGTTTATGAGGAGTTGCGCTGACAAACTGTCTATATTCAAGGTATGGTCAAATCCTGTTTCACCCATAACAATGACTGGAATGTTACATCTAATCAAAAAGTTTTATATTAATGTGCATTTAATATGTATGAAAACACTTTTAGGGAAGTGCTGAATTCAACACACGAAATTCTAAACTGTAGAAAATATTTTGAATGTCATTCCTTATAATTATTTAATTTTCATTAATTATCATATTCAACATCATCGATTTAGTGATTAAAATTTTAGCAATACTTCTGAGACAATATTTTGTCTTTGCTAAAACAGATATTTCTGCACTTATAAATCACTAAGTTTCCATTAATGGATTTCATATGTAGTTGAGAAAAAAATTTTTTGTTTCTTTTTTCACAAGTTAGGAAATGGACATTATTATAAAAAATGTAGAATAATCACATTTTAATTAAAATGTTTACCTTCATTACTGCCATCTTTTTTATCTCAGCCCCTGGAGGACACTGTAGAGCGCAAAGGAACTTAATTAAGCGTGTTTTACCACACCCTGTTTCACCCATAACGATGACTGGAATGTTACATCTGATCAAAAATACATTAAAAGACAAATGACTTGTTTCATTTAACAAAAAACACTAAAAGCCAGCCCAGTGCTGAATTCAAAACAAGAATTCAAAGCTTTTGTCTACTTTTTTCCTTCCAAAAAAGGAATATCATTGATTTTATTTTTTCCATGGAATTTCTGACAAAGAATTGGGATGTTATAAGCTATTCACCTGAATCGCATATATATCGCCATCATCTTTTTCACATTGTCTGTTGTCAGTTCATATGTTTCATCTGGATCATGAGGAAACTCATTCCCAATCACCCTGCAGAGTCTTTCTAGCTTTTCATACCTTTTAAAATAATTTAAAATTTTAACAATAAATTTAATAATTCATCAATGCAAAAATCAAACGTGTTGTTCTTCAGATGTATTAAAGATTTTTTTCCAACGAAAAATTTAAATCCCATACTGTTGTCTTTTTTAGGCTAAAGGGGCCTTGCCTTTACTTAACTTCAATATACAAGAATTCTGAATTTAAATATAACCAACATGGCCCCGCTGTTCTAGAGAAGATTATATTTATACGAAATTTTCGTATACTACATCAAATGTTATTTCAAATATGAAACCTAGTACCCAAAAGTCATACTTTGGAAACCCTTAAATTAATTTGATATTAGTATGACTAAGCATCTTTTATATATATATATATATATCTTTTTTTTAATTTCCACGGTATATCATTGTAAAATTTTGAATACACACACAAGTCCTTTTTCTAGCCTCCGGGAACCATTAATTGAAGAATTATAAATTAATATGAACATCAAAATTATTCAGGGGATGTTTGATTTATTCGTTTAGCCCCGATGTTCTTAATAGTCTAAGGATTTTTATAGAAGTGTCCGTGCAATAGCCCCTTTTAAATGTTTGATAACCTATAGTAGATCCACCTTATACTATGGGGAGCATGTTTGAACAAATCTGATCTTACATTACCTGAGGACTTATGCGTATTTTATATGAGTAGTTTTGCTCCGTTAATACCGAAAAGAAAATTTCGAAATAGGGCGCGATTCCAACTTAAAAAGAAGAAAATATGGCAATATTAATATAAACAATAACAGTTGACTAACTTTGCTCAGAATAACCCACTACAGCCTTTCGCTTATTTGAACAGAAAGCAAAAAAATTGCAAATTTGTTACTTTACCTATTCAGGTCTTCAAAATTCTCTTGGAGTGGTACACAGTTAGCAACCAGGGCATCCCAAAGGTTCGGTGTCATTATCTTTCTTTCTAGAACTTGACCTGTCTGGTTGTCGACTAAATTTCTGTTCACTTTGCTGATATTAAACCCAATGAACGTCATAGTGTGATGATCAGGGTTGAAAAACAAATATGGATGAGCACTGCAAAGATCGCATTTACTAGCGTTTCAAAAACCAATCAAACGAACAAAATTTTATTATATTTTATTTAATTTTTATAGAACATTACAGTAATAAATTTGACTCTGTTTTTAAATCAATAATTAAGAAATCAAAAGTTGTTATGAAAGTTGAAGCACATAAAGTACAATCATTTTGATTATACAAATATGCTACACAGCAAAATTCTTAAATATATGTAGATATATGTATAATTCTTATATTGATTGTCAATGCAAGTAGCAAGTAGCATGTAGTGTTTATAATCGAGTTTCTGATTTGCTTATATACACCATGATAAAAGAAAAGTCATATAATTCTAACGTTCAACAAAGATAAGCCTCATGAAGATTGTTACATGTTAATGTCAAGTAAATTCTATTAACATAAAGTTTATATAAATTGTCCTCTTTTTATCTATATATTTTTATTTAGTTTATTAATACATGTATAAGTTAGTTAATACACCTACAATAAAAGCAATAAGAAAAGCAATATCAAATATTTGTAAATACTTACCTCGATTCCCAACGACGTCTTATTTGAAACTGGGATAAGTCAATAATTTCATTCTCATCATTTGTTTCTTCGTTTTCATTCTCCATTTGACCTTCATGAATGATTGACTCAATGTTTTCCTCGTCTTCAGACATCATCAATGATCTTGTTGAAAAATCCTGTTTTATCCAAAAATGACTGCATTTATATATGTACTCCTTTTATATCAAAGGGCTTAAAAAATATTGTATTTAAGTGTTTACAAAATATTTCTATCTTACCTTTGACATTTGAATCAAAAATCTCAAAACAAATTTTGAAAACCCTGGTAAGTCAGCAGCCATTTCAGAGCCACAATAAACAGACTTTTCAAAATCTTCCAACTGTGTATTCAAAAAGTGCACAAAGTTTCTCAGCTCCGACCACAAAGGATCTTCCACACAGCAGTGTCTATTAAACAGGATATAAACTAGTATAAGAGAGAGAGAGAGATTTTATACAATTTTAATGTTTCTACTCTAAATAATTTAGCTATGTAAAACAACAATAAACATACCTCATGAGCGTCTCTAAGCATTGACGTTTGTTACCGCTTCGTAAAAAGCGGTTAAAAATTGGTAAAGTCTTTTTGTTTGCCTCCAGGCCTTGAAGATATTGAAAAGGTCTTTGAAAAACCTCTGATTGAAACATCTGGTCATCGAATCCAAGCAAAATATCATTTGTTTCAATTTCTACTAACAAAGAGAAAATACGCCACTTAATTTAGTCTTAGATTATTACAGTAAAAACCTCTTTTATCAAAATGTTATGTTTTCCAAAATCTTGTCTATTTAGACTTTTAGTCCACCTAATTACTAGTTTGTATATGCATTTGTCAAAAATTCTATTTAATCTGAAATGCAGACTTATAAGGCAATTTTCTTAAGAACCAGTGATGTTTAAATAAAACAAGTTTTAATGTATATGAAGTCTATTTCCATTCCCTTTGCTTAATGTATATTTTACGAACTCTCAACATGCCTTTTAATTCTTCTTGTGGGGAGACGCATCGTACACAAGGCAGCAGGTCTATCAGTTGGATTCCAGAAACTGATCGTCTCGACTGGCAGATAGAAATAACTGAATTTTTTTTAAACATTCTATCTAAAGATCGATTTTATATAATGGTCTTACAATGATTATAATTAAAGCCAGAATAAAAAGAAAAATTCAACAACAATATTTCAAAAACGTACATAGTGACCCTTATCTCTAACAGTTATTTCAATCAAGTACAAATCTGTCATTGATCGCTGAAATGCATATCCTCTGTCATCAACGACAGCTCCCAAAATTATCAGGTTGAAAAGAAAAGATGCTACTCCTTCATCCATCTAGTAAAATAAAATGTACAATGTTCCTTTATCAAAACACCATAGAATAGAGTTAAAACTGCAAATTCAGTATGAATGGCATGAATACAGTTTAATCATTCAATAAGTTATACCCCAGATGCAACATCTATATGGAAAATTCTTGGAGAAATAATGTCAGGTGACAGTGTGTAATCCATTAACTTTCTTGACACGTCAGCAAAATCATGGTCCTTTTGGCTGAGTGGAATTGAATACGTAACTGGAAATTCATCCTCATCAGCACTTGGATAATGTATTTTCAACTGCTCAACCAAACGGTTTTTGTGGAGTGTTTTTCCTAATCCTGCTCTGTCTGATTTCACAACACGAACGCATAATCTGTGACATAAAAAGTAACATATACATAAAATCTGATAAAGTTGTATTCAATATATAAATAGTCTAAAAATCAGGAAATTGATATTCACTCTGATTTGTCAACAATAGATGCAGCATCGCTTTCCACCTTTCCGCGTGTACAAAATTTATTCCTCAAATAATGCTGAATTTTCTCCTCTGCTGAGACTGTCATTTTTGGTGTACGAAATTTGTCCAGGGCAGCGATTATTGGAGACTGGTACTCGTTTTCACTGCTGCAAATGACCACAAGACTGTACTCTGTAAGAAGCGAAATAAATGTATGTGATTGGAGGAATTGTAACTAACTATTTAATATTTGTAAATATCTCGATTTGGAATCAAAATACTTTTATTTGCCTTAGCTAATAAAGATAAGGATGCAATACAAGTCAAGATAAGCACCAATACTTATATAATAAAGATTACTTGTAAAGATATTTGAAAAAAAAAATGTATTCCAAATTTAAGTAAGATATAAATGACCATTTCTTTCACTTTGTCTTTTCTGGAATGGGGACACACTACCTCTTCAAGTAAAGAAAACATTCTCTGTCAGTTTTATTATTTATCTTAACCTGTTCTTGCTGCTCTCATTTCTTCCTTGAATTCTTTCAGCGATTCCTCACATACATCATATCGAATAAAGTCTGCATTAACCAGACAGAAAATAAGATGATTCCTGTCCTTTTCTTCCTGTCTCAATGCCCTTCGAAAGAACATGGTTACCTAAAATACAACCATCTGTTATTCATCATTCTTATAACAGTTGTACGCTTATTTTTATTACAATGTTGATATTTTTTTAAAAATAGATTTCAATTTAAACAAGTATTCTAAGAGTATTGCACTAGCATTTGCTAGACTGATTTACTTAATTTTCGAAGCAACTTTAACGTTTTTGACAGAAAAAAAGATAGATAGCGAACATAAATCAATAAACCAAAAAGGCAATTAGAAAGTGAAATCCCTGCCTCTTCAGTTGTTGTCAATTCTGTACACAGCAAGACCTCATTTCTACTTGGTAGTGGCAACGATTGATCATTCATAAACAGAGTCAATAGCATTGGTAATACTTCCTCTGGAATTATACATGTTTTTATACACTGTACATTCTAAAGGAACTACTGCTCATTTTTACAAACAATTCAGATTCATGAGACATTTGCTTTCTTTTTTTAAATTGAAAACGAAAACAAAGACAATCAAAACTGATTTCACAGTAATAAAAAAATTAATTCAAAGAATGCAAAACTGTATAATTTTATTTATATTTTAAAGGTTAAGTTAAAATTATAAGCACTAAGCAAAGACAAACCACATCCAATATACCTATATTGTAACATAATGATTCATCTACATTAATTAAGCTTAACATGATTTTTAAAAGACGCAGGTTTATGTTTTTTCAGCCAAGTACTGAGTAACTGCTTTTTCTGATAGCTGTACGTTATTTGTATAATCCGTTCATATGGTCGCGGTTCATTATTATCAGTTTCACCATCGTGACGGACGTATTTTACGTAAGTAATATTAAACTCTCGATGGAGACAAGAATTACTGCGTGGGTTTTCCATAACAGAAGCGAAATTTACCGAAGAAAAATTGTAGTATACAAACAAACAGATACCGTATATCTAGTGTTTTCGCTATGATCTATTTCTCGCTTTTTCTGCGATCATTTTTTATTCCCCTAAAATGAAACACGCAGAAATTATATCAGCTTTAATGTGACATAAAAACATTACCATTTTTTGAAAACAAATCTTCAATCGCAAAAAATAACTTACACAAAATAAAAACTGTACATATTCAACCCTTTTCCGCAAAATTTTCAACACACGAAAAAAAAACAAACAACGGTATACCCGTAAACTGCAATAAATTGTAAACAAATTTAATGTAATGCAACATAACCAGTATGAACACGTGTAGTCCATTCCACGTGTAAGAAGAAAGAAGTCAGGTGTAATGAATGCAGTGGGAAAAGCCCAATGCTGATAACGTACATAGGGTGTAGTGTTTGCCTATTCACGAGTCGTGATCATCTTTAAAATAGCAAGATGTACGTTTTTGGATAACTACATTGTAGTAATTCAAATTCAAACCATCTTTAACAATCCTTACCCTGAGAACACACAATAAGATTAGGTTTTCCAGGTTTCAGTGGAGCTGGCAATGGACGACTACACACTTTAGTGTCTGGAAAAGTAGAAAAATTCCCCATCAATGAACCTGTCAGATTTCAGATTAATTGGTTCATAATTATCACATCTTGATGAACTTACTTTTGTCATAGATATGCTGTAGTATAAACCCTACATGTTCCACACTCAAAAAGTCGTTCAAGCTTAGAGATGTAAATTTTAAGTATTTTTCCCAAATTTCTCTTAACCTCTTTTCAATGCTTTCTACAGCTTCTTGTCTAAAGGAGAAAAAAAATCATTTTTTTTCCTTTCGAATATACTTTGTTTATATTCAATACATTAATGTTTAATTAAAGCAAAAGGTAATAAAATCACAATATTATCATATATCTTAAAGAGCACTTTATTATTTTAGCTTGAACATACAGTACCTCAGAAGATCTTCAATTTGTCTGTCAAAATCTTTGAGTGACACGGTATTAGTGTTTCCAGAGACTTCTGGTGAAAGATTATCATTTACACCAACAACTATGTTTTCCTCCTCTCTCTCATCCTCTTCATAGCACCACATAAGGCCTAGAGAAGATGAATCATTGAAAATCGTTCTTTTGACAGGGTTATTTTTGCCCTACCCTCATTTGGGGGAATTTTAAACAGGGCAAATTCAAAGAATACAACATAACTTCTTAAATAAAACTATGAGTAAGCGAATTTAAAACGGGGCAAAATTGTTTGCATTTGTGAAAGGGCGAAAATTACATGGGTCGAAAATAACCCTGTATACAGTAATAATTTTGTAAATGTTCATGTTATTTTTATTATATAAACTGATATAAACTAAAATTCTTACTGCTATCAAAATCCTGAGGGTCAAACATATTAGACTGTATGCACTGCATTGCTCTTCTTTTTGATATGCCGGAATCATCGGCTGCCTTGAGAAAATCTTGAATTGTCCTGTTTTCTTGTGATGCTGAGGACTCATCAGTGATATCTTTGTCCTGCTCTCTCCTCAACAGTTCGTTCAAGCTCATGAACGCAAACTCTAAATCTTCCACTGAACAATCTGACTTGACATATGAAAGGAGTGCAAGCAAATACTTTGAATCATGACTTCCATGTCTGTACATTGCTAATTCTTCCTGCAAAATGATCATCTGGGCAACTGTAAAGAAATTTAGGGGATAATAGCTATCCCTAGTTTCTCTTACATGCCCCATCCATTGCTCATAGCAGTTTTCCAAAAAGTCCGCTATCTTTTGCATGTAGTCATTCACAACATCATCTTGTGATATATGTTCATCTCTGGTTTTTGTATTAGTTCCCTTTAAAGTTGACTCATGCTGCTGACCAAACTTCACAAAAGCGCAGTTCTCAACCGATTTGTTGCAGAGAAATTCAAAGGACCATTGTTTAAATAACACGCATCCTGATGAGTAAAGTTTGATAAAAATTCTTCCAAGTCTTGTTACGTTGTCAAAAATCTGAAAAGATGCAATTTTTCATAATTTTCTTTCTTCAATTAGCATTTTCATATTTCAAACATTTGTTGTGATAAAGACACAAATGTTTTGGTAGGTACTAAAAAAACAATATAGGATATACATGTATACACTTTTAAACAATTCTATAATGAATTCGTGGATGTAAATACTACATAGACAATTTACATGTATGAATTGGATAACTGAGGTATAAATCTAAAACAATATATTTTTTCAAAAAATTAATAAATTACAGCTGTAAATTTCTCTATATTTTCCCTGCCGGTGTCAGTTTTTCCAGAGACCAACATGAGACGACTCTGCAGATCCATCATATCACTATATGAGTATTCTCGCCCTTCTGTTATGGGATCTACACGTTTGGCTTCTATGTGTTCGGACTGAGAGCATTCAGTTTCCTCCATGTGTTCAGGACTATCTTCAGATGTCGAAGCAAGATCTTTCACTAATGTTTCATGAAAATGTTCATCTGTTTGGACAGCTCTAGGTACGCGAAGACAAACAACATCCTGTAAGCTCTATAAAGAATCTTGTATTTGTTTCACAAGTACTTAAATTATTCATTTTGTTATAAAGATCAGAGTCAAAATTTACATTGATCAGAAACTATTTCAATGTTAGTTTTATACAGGGCTTTATAAATGCTTTTAATCATCTAATAAATATTCATTATTAGCAAGGACCAGTTATTTGCAAAATGTTATAATTCATCTTGATATCAAGAATACTTTTCAATTAACAACCAGATAGTTATATATTACTTGTTGGGAATATATATTTTAACACTGTTTCAATAACCCTTTAACTTTAAGAAACTAAAAAAAATCACCAGTTGAATGTCATGTTTCCCTTCACTAATTCCAACTCTGAAAATCCCCCGCTGTTTTATAGCATCAACTTGTTTCAGTGACGTCACTTCAACAGAACCATGGGCCTCTTTGATTTCAACAAACCATTGTAGTAACCGATTTGATTCGAGCTAGAACATTGAAATCTCAAGTTTTATTTATAGGTTAGTGACTTATAAAAATATAGAAATTCTTCATTTAGGAGAAAAGGCTGCCTACACAAGTATTGATTTAGTATTATAAAAAAAAGTACATGTGCAATCTAGTACCAGCTTTTTCGGCAAATCCACACCCTTTTCAAGACTAGTCCAAACTTCCTCACATCTTTGAATCAAAGCATCTTCTCCCTGTATGTCTTCTGTGTAGAAAATCAATGGTGCATATCCAATGGCTGCCGTATGCAAGTCGGTTATATGTGCAATAAGGTCATCTTCTTCCACAGACATAAAGGCCAAGTCTGCGTATATTTTCAAGTCTTTTACCCCACCTGAAAAATATATACAAACAAAAATTTACTTCTACGTAACTTTGACGTCCAGATTCATGATGATATCAAGAAACACTTTTTGACTGACCTAGCTATATCTCTTTCATTGTACTGAAATTAAATAAACAATAATAATAATAAAAAGAATAGATTTTTGTGCTCCCGTAATTGAAGACTCTGGGGGTATATTTTAACAGTTTTTGTCCTGTCTGTCCGTCTGTCTGTCGGTTTGACGTCAATCTGTATGTCCACAAAACTTTAACCTTGGCAATAACTTTTGAGTGGATTGGGCCATGGTTTTCATATTTCACAGATATATTCCTTGTGACAAGTAACAAGATCTCTTTTGGGGTATCATAAAATAAAACTTTTTAACCTTGACCTTGGCCAATACTTTTAAACAGATAGCTGTAGGAATTTCATATCTCCCAGGTGTTTTTCCTGTGACAAGAGTTTTCTGTGGATAACTTTTGACCTTGACCTTATAGTTTCAACCATATTTTGAAGGTTTTAACCTTGTTATGACTTTGAAGAGTAAGCACTAAGGCTTTCATATTTCACAGGCGTATTGTGGAAAGATCTTCCTTTTGTTATCAACAACTTTTACTTTTTAACTTTGACTTTGCATTTGCCTTAAGCTGCATGACGGACTTATCAATGTTTTACAAACACATCTTGTTCGAAAAGCATATTATCTTAAACATTGCATGTAAGTAGGCACCTAGGTTTAACCAATAAAACATGTATATTAGCAATTACCTTTCAAAGAGTCTCGAAGCCATTTCACTAAAGCATCCGATCTACAAAATGCATTCAAACATTCCTTTCTTTTCTCATCAACTCTTTCCAACTTTGTATGAAAAGACTGGATCTTACTAGCCATCTCTTTAAGGGAAATTGCTTTGTCTCTGTCCTTAAAGGAAAAACAAATAATTACAAAATAGTACTGATACACAGCAATCGATTATATCTACAATATATTACCTATGTTTTATTATTTATGCTTACAGATCGTTCAATCAATTCCACGGAGTCAAAATTTCCCTCAATATTGTTTGTGTTTCGTATTTCTTTGAGCAACCTTGCTGCTTCAACAGACTGTGAGAAACATTTATATCGTCGGAACTCGGCTATGCGATTTTGAATCCATGGCTTTTTCGAACCTCTGTTCATGGCCGTAAATTCTTTCTGTAGACTGTCATCATCTACTCTGTGCAGATGTAATGTCTCAATGTCCTCAATGGTTATTGTTCCATTTTCCAGGCTGGTGCAGTATTCCCCCCACATATCTTTTGCAGGATTCAAAACTTCCTCAAAAAGCTCAAAGAAGTCATATTTTTTCATTTCCATAGCTGTCTTCTGTTTAGACACTGATTTTAGAACTGTTTCAAATGTTTTGCTTTGTTTGTAAAATGAAATACATTTTACAAAAGATATTACAGGTTCTTCCAGGATCTCGGTAAATACTTTCAACCTTGGTGTATGCATTGTATAATCTGACATCTGTTTTGGAATTTCGCATATATCTTCTAATTTCATCTTTTTCCAGTTTTGAAGAATGGTTTCGTAACCATTAGGCAAGCCTGATTTATCTACCAAAAATTTAAAGCATTTATTTGAATAAATTCACAATAAACAATGGATTTTTACAGCACCGTGTTACTTTAAATATACACGTAGTTTCTTTTCCTAAGTTAAAAATGTAAATATTACCTCAGTTCAATCAATTTTTTGTATTTTTTGGCACGTACTGTAATCGTTCTTTTTCCCATGGGTTCATTATTCATTAAATTCACAATAAACAATGGATTTTTACAGCACCGTGTTACTTTAAATATACACGTAGTTTCTTTTCCTAAGTTAAAAATGTAAATATTACCTCAGTTCAATCAATTTTTTGTATTTTTTGGCACGTACTGTAAACGTTCTTTTTCCCATGGGTTCATTATTCCAGAAAATCATAATTTTGTTTAAATCGATGGATAGAACATTACATTGATTTCTAGATTCCGGTTAATGCTTTAAATAGACTTTACAATTTAACTCTTTACAATTTGCTAAACTGTGACGCAACATACACTTAACTATCACGTCATAGAAGTATGACGTTACCTTTTCCCCGCAAGCACTTAAGAACATCAAAATGCATTTGAAAACAAGAAATGTTTATGATTTATATATTAGGTTTTAAGGTTTAAATTTTAATTTTTAAAAAATATTTGTATTATTATTTTAAAGAAATAAATTTTCAATTTATTTGCATTACCGACAGTGAAACCTACGAATTTTAAAATAAAACCCCCGAAAATTGACCATTCTGTCTTTGCTGCATACATGCATATTTTTTGTTTCTTCTGTTAACATTCTCAAGCAGTCGACATCGAAAATAAGCTGAAAAAAGTTTTTTTCTTTATAGTGTCATTCTCCAGCTTATGTGTTGGTCTGGTGGGGCCAAGAAAAGGCGGGAGCGCTATTTCTTCTAAACTTGAAGTCCAATTTGGTGCGATGCCCTCGATTTCTTCAACATCACTAATGACTCTGAGTCATAATCAAACGGACTTTCGTCACTGTCGGTCTCTCCTTCATCTGAACTTTGGTCAGAATTATAAAGACTCCGAAAAATATCGGAATTTGCTATTGGAGACGTATTTGTCATGATATTTCTTTCATATTCACAAAATCAATAATATTGCGTCATCTATACTCAATAATGACAATCGATTATTACATAATATTTTAATCAGATTATATCTTTTTTTTTTATTTTAAGAGATATTTACAAGTATAAACTAGAAGGGAATCGGCATTAAACTGAAGATTAAATGTACTTTTGAAAGTGCGTGATTGCGGGGAAACGGTAAATGCGTGATTTTGCGTCAGAAATAGGAAACGGTATATGCGTTAAAATGCGTGACTGCGGGGAAGGGGGGTAAATATTCTGGGCAAAAAAAGAGGTTATACAAATGGATTGAAAGTTTGACAATAACTTTTAATTATAAAAATAAAAATAGCCGAAAGCAAAATTTGACTATCTACCAGAATTTTTTTAAACAGAAATGTGAAAACTGAAGAGAGAAAATTTTGACAATTATCACAAATTCGTCAATTTGGTCAACATTCAATATCATCAAAGTTTCCACTTTAAAATTACAATATTTCCAATACAATTTTTCATTTATTTACACTCACAGGTTTTAACTGATATTAAGAATTGTGCTATTTTTGAAATACAATGAAAATAAGACAAAAATATGTCCTTTTCTTGACATTAATTCTTTTGGGAAATATAAATCTATAACGCTGTTTTGAACATGCAAAATGTTTCTGCCAGTAATTGAACTTGAACAGATACATTTTTGAAAAGGTATAAAGTTTGCACTTAAAATTTACTGGAAGAAAAATTGCTTGAAAATAAGCTGTTTAATACAAGTTTATACAAAATGTGCAAAACTAAGAGGCCATTTGAGACACTTATTATACATGTACATGTCGCTTTTTATTTAAAACAAGAAGGAAATCAAGTTATTCATAATTTTCTTTTAATCTTTGTCAATATTGATTTTGATATAATAAATTGCAACTTACAGTTTCGAACCATCTTTAAAATAATCTGTAAACCCTCAACTATTTTCATTTCGTCAATTAAAGTTTTCATGTCTTTCTCCCTGCATTCGAGAAGTATGGACAAAGAATCAGGTGTAAATGGCAAATTAAAATCTGGGGCTGATTCCAATTTTTCTGCAATTTTTCTTAGATTCTCTGTATGTTGTAGTCCAAGCATCAGATCCTGAATCAAAATGGTGTTGTTTTCAAAAGCCGTAATAAAGTCTTGAAACACACGAAGTGATCTTTCGAGTTTCTTCACCAATTCGCTATCCATATATTTCAGAAGCAGTCCCTTTTGATCTAAAAAAACCCAAAGAAAATTAGATTAGGAATGACGTTTGAAAATGCAAAGAATTAGTTCAAATGGCGGTTTAGTAGCACTAACAAAAGAGCAAAAAAACTTTTGAAGAGCTAAACAATGTACCGTCCAATATTCACTTACAGTAACTTTCACTATACTGTGGGTAACAATTGCAGGTTAAAATTTGTTCAAGGTAAGCCCTAGGTGATGCGTTGAACTCAAGTGTCCACACTTTTTGGAAAAATTTTGTCAGAAGAGGTACAATGTAGTTATTGCTTCTTATCATTCCTTCTGTAAAGCCGAACAAACCATAGCATTCCCGGTCCTATAATGTATATGTTCTTAAATAATATTAGCTAAAATGAAAAAATACTGTATTTATACTTAATGTGTTGTACTAAATCAAATCTTAAGATTAAATCATTTATATAGACTGTACGTTTTTAATGGGTATAGTAAGAAGGATAAATAATCTGCACCCTTTCTGGTTTTAAAATAAATTACATCCATAAACCTGTACTTGGTAAATTTAAGTAAAATTAACCCCAAAGTTCTGTAGAACTTATTCAGATGCTTTTACTATTGATTACCTTTAAAATCTCTTCAAAAGACGAGAATGTTTTTCGTTCCACCAGTGACTTCAACCGTTCTGACTGTATTCCATGCATGCCATAGAGAAACAAATCCACCACTTCCTTTGTACCGCACTTTGATATACAAAAGTAGTGGTAATTACAAAGAAAGAAAGGGAGGATTTTTTATATACAGAGAAAGAACTTGATATTCCATAGATAAAAATTGTGCGACTTTTACTTTTAATGAGTGCATTTTTCAACGTACAATATGACAATGCATTCGTTATTAATTAACCCTGTGTAATGCATTGCAGTATAAATTAATTGTTTAATTGTATTTTGTATATTATTGTAAGCAAACTTACAAGATTTAAAAATTTCTCTACAGCCGACAAGATTGCTGGCTCAAAATTTCCAGGAAGATGTTGCAGAGGATAGTCAGTTTCTATTGACAAAGCAAAGTCTCCGACCTGTTAAAATGTAAAACCATTGAATGGTAAAATAGATTGGTATTTCTTACAGTCTTCACATATTTTTGTAACTTTCAGAGGATTTAAGCTATTGTAGAAAAAAGCGACCTCCTCAATAAACAAAACAATATTTATAGCCTTTTACCTGGAGATCAGCACCACGGCTTCCAAAGAAGTCGTCAAGCAAAGTTATTATCATAGTTGTTAGAGATTTCATATCTTCACAAACCGCAGTAATCTTGTCTAATATGGCTATAGACAGCAGTGAACAATGAAAACAAGTCAAAACGAGTTTCCAATCTTGTAGCAGCCTTTGTTTATGTAGTCCATGATTCAAAATAGCAATCAACAGATTGTGACGTATTTTATGCTTTACGTCAACTTCATCCCATGGACTATGGAGAAAAAAAAATAACATACCAAACAATAATCCAATTTTAATTCATTAATTTTAGTTGCTTGGGTTTTTCTTTTTATTTCTAAGTCCTACATTAATAACATTAAAGATCTAAGTGTACACTTATTTTATGTCACAAAAAATGTTTTATGTGTTGTAAACTTCCTTAAGGTGATGGAAGAGCAATCAAGAAAAAAAAAACGTTGTAAGATTCACTTGACAAGCATTGAAGGCAAAATTATATGTCTTTATACTTAAAATGTTCAAAATCGTAATCCTCGTGTCCATTGTACCTTATATCTGGATATTTGAAGGTCGTGATTTATACATGAACTGTATTAAAGTACAATCAATTAAATATTTGAATTATTAGTGTTAATTGGACAAATGTTTTCCTTGTGAATATATAAAAATGCTGACATCAATCAATAGCTTGGTTAAAAATGTAAAATTGTTTAAATTTTGTGAATAATATATTAATTTGAATTATTAGTTTTAATTAGACAATTTTTTTCTTGTGAATATAGAAAATGCTGACATCAATCACTAGCGTGATTAAAAAATATAAAAAGTGTTTAAATTTTGTGAATGATATTATAATACATATATGATATACTGATAGGAAAAAAAAATGTATAGTAAACTTTTAAAGCAAGTTAAATTAAAACTATAATTTTGAATGTAATTTCCAGTGCTGTTATCAAACATCTGAATTAATCTTCAATCAACAAGTTTCAAAAAGTTATGTGATTTGAGCAGGTAAATCACGAGTTATTGAAATTTATATGCCGAATCCCCCTCTCCCAAGTGAAAATTCCTTCAATAATAATTACAAGTACATTCGGCTATTGCATTTCGATTACCATCCTGTTCTTGAAAAGATGTAGAATACGTTTAATGATATCCAACTCAAATTTGAAAAATATGTTAGAAAAAATGAATGAATTATACTTTTTATCAAAAAAGCTTTTCAGTATGTTTCTTTTATTATTATATTGTCATTTTTCTTTTTCACTTGCGGAGATCTTCATTTATTTGTAATTGGGTGTGAAATTTAAAAGCAACATGCAAAAGGGAAATTAAAAAAAAATATGCTTACATCTTCTTTGTGTCCGAGTGAGAGGACAGAGTCTCGAGTAAGATCGCATACACACTACTCATAAGTTCCTGAAGGAGCTGCGTCTTAGATTTAAAAATTGAATTTAATACATGTAGACTGTTCATAGATAATGCACAAACTGGCAAAACGTTCTCAATAATTTGCGTCTTGAATGAAAAAGTAAAAGATAACGAACAGTGACATAGATAGATTTCAAGAAATCTTGAAACAATACAAATTCTTGATGACAGCATAAACACGGACCTTTGGAAATATGCCAAAAGTGGGATCAGGAGACTAGGAACAGGAACATTATTCATCAAATATACATTTAAATGTATATAAAAGATATGATTAAGAACCAAGAATGTTTTTGTTGGCAAACATCAAAGTGTTTATTCTATTAAATGAAGGATATGGAAATAACGAACAGTATTATTAATTAACTTTGCTCATTTGAAGTTTGACAATTATTATTCTTCATGGAGTAGTTTTTTTTATGTTCTGAAACTTGTAATTTTATGACCTTAAATAATTCCAAAATGACATATTTGACCCTGCAAAAAGTTTATTCTGTTAATTCCGCAATTATTTGTGTCATCGTGTTGCTAACAGACATTGTACTACAAAGAGGAAAAGTTGCTGATTTTCAAAAAGGATGTTAATTACATTAGTGAAAATATATTTTAAAGGAATGTATCGAGAGAATTGGAATATACAGTGTCCCAAAACATAATGAATATGTTACACTTAAAAAGAGTAAACGATTTTAAACCATAAGTTGCATTACTGAAATTTTAAACATATAATTGTACATTGTCACAGTTTCCTTATTAATCATCTTTTTTTCTTTAAAATAACATATGTCATTTTACATGATCCAGATAACATGCCTTTGAAATAACATTGTTTGAACATGATTTCTGAAGCTTTTACCAAGCTTTACATGCACATCTACCACAATTAATTTTAAATCAAATTTGAGCATTCTATGAAACTACTTGTATATCTATTACTATTTACCAACGGTGCCATTTACATATTATGTAGTTCATGCAGTACCCGTCAAAGGATTTTTGTAAGTTTCAGTAATAACGTTTAACTCTATCGATGGAATTAATGTTCTCTTTGGTAAGGGCACTCCTTGGTCTTCTAATACCAGAATTAAGTCATGTGTGATCTGGAACTTCGAACTCCTAAATAGATCTATAAATTAGCATCCTGTTGAGCACTTTCATTACAGGAAGTTGTTTTTTCATGGTTCTTATGACTGAAGTAGCACATTTAGACCCAAAGTAAAGTTTCACAGTTTCTACCAGTAGCTCAAAAGAAGGTTCCATATTAAAGGAAATATTATGACGCCATGGGGACATCATAATTACCTGACTATTTAACAGAATTTCCCGATTTTTTAAAATATAAATGTATGCTATACAGTAGATGCTGACAAACTATCTTTTGTTATTTTTTTTTTTGGTTCCATAAAGTTATCGATGATGAAAAGTGTCATAAAAATTTTGGGATAACTAATACACGTTTTTCTAACCCTTGTCATTACTTAACAGATTTATGTACACGTACCATATAAAACATTTTACAAGTTAGAAAATGGTGAAAATAGTGTGTTTCAATACCATTGAATTCATATAACTGTACACTTACCTGAGAGGAATTTTCAAAATAATGTTCTATTGTTGCCAACTTGATTTCAAGCTGAATCTCCGACATTTGCATTACTTTGGAAACCTGAAGTAAGCCTAATGCAGCCATGAACGATTTTTGTAGAGTAGTGTCGAGTTGGAAAAGCGTTTTGTGTATTTTGACGAACTCTTCGCAAGATCTAAAATAAATTTCAACTGCAACAGTATTTTGATATAAATTAATCTTAACCTTCACTATTTTTCTTTAAAATGTTGTTTATTTTCTAAATATTTGATTAACATTCCAATATGTAAACTGATCTTACGTTGTCCACAGTCTTTTTTTCATTTCCTCTTTTTCCTCTCCGAATTCCGAAAAGCACCACCATACATCTTGCTTTGTTTCAGTAATTTCAAAGTGGCATAGATTCGATACGAATGGCTGTAAGTTGCCCTCTAGATAGTGAATTAATGGCATGCATGCTAACCAAGCTGGATCAACATAACTTCCCACTGTTGTTGTCCTTTTCAAAAAAGATACGATGGACGACTTTGCTTTCCTGTAAAATATATTTTAAATTTATCAAATTGGTTTGCTGTATTTGCTCATCACCTTTTAGTACATCAGTTAAAAGTTAGTGTTATTTTGAAAAAAAAACTTTAAAAAAATATACATGGACATACAGTTATGACATTACACCCCTTACTCTCTAGCATCGCTTGGCAAATGTTTTTCCAAGTATTCCAGCTGATCACAAGTTTTGTGCACAATATCAGGTCTCAGCAGTAAACACATTTGTAGGGTCTTAACATGAAGAGGTTCTATTATTTCGAATGGTATGTCCAAATCTTTGACGAGTTCTATGACCATTATGGATGTCAAAAGTGCCATGCCTATATCTTTTTCTTTTGTTTCCTCAAGTCTATCAGTCGCAACTTTAAGGTGGTCCCAGAGTAGCTAACAAAATAAATGGAAGCTGTGGTAGAGTAGCGCAATCTATGACTTAACGGTTAAAATTTTTTAAATACAAATTTCTTGGGACTTCATTTTTTTTTCCAAATTGAAATTATACATTTTTCTTAAGGACAGATAATACAAACAAAAAAATGATGCCTAAATAGGTAAATATTTTTTGGTTTAATTTCAGTGAAAATGAAATCGATGCAAATGATAACTTTCTAGAATATAAAGAAATTGTAAACCTTCCTATTAAGATGTTCATAGTTCTGCCTCTCTGAAACCATGCTGATTAATCTATGCGAATTTAAAAACTAAGCGGTGAAACCCATTCATCTTACCAATGAAAACATGACTCAAGTACTTATTTTCAAATTTTTTGACAAAAGTTTGTATCATCTGTTATTATGAATTTAATGAGTTACAGAATTCTACCTGGTTGAAAAAATAAGCATCTGGTTCTTTCTGATTTTTCATGAATTGGTCTTTTATCCCACCCTGCTTTATACTTCTGAAAATATCTTGCAACTCAACAAGCTGCTTCCTCGTTTGGAGAAATTCTGCAACATTTGGCAAATAACACTGCAAAATATGTTTGCCATCTTTCAGCATAACGTCCTGAAATTTTCCAGTAAACTTTTCTCTGATGTTGAAAAATATCCCTTTTCTAGCAGCATAAATGCACCCGTCATACTGATTCCATTCACCTTAGGGGAAACAACACAACATACAGTGTATCTTACATAATTTGAAATATTTTCTGATAATTAAATCCCCCTCTTTTCCTTTTTCTCAATCAATCTATCAACAGTGTGTTTGACTGTGATTGAGGACATACCTTTTTCTGCCGGTGGGACGATAAGCTCACGGTGTCCATATTTATAAGGTCCGTAATTATGAAGGTAAAACTCTCGTTCTGTTTCGATTTTTTTATCGTTTGGTCGGTGGAACATGTATAGGTAGCGCAATGGTTCTCTCAGTAAATCTTTTTCTATCATAGCTGTTGCTTTCAGACGCGCGGGATACTTTTTCCTGTATCGTAGGAAAAATAAATGAGTGAATTAACAATTTTATCTTATTAATCCTTTCTTTGATATAATGGTTAATATGAAAGTCACTAAACATGATTCATTGAAGGTTGTTATCGCTCTCTAATGTTCAACGAGCTTGATATTGAAGCAGTTATGTGATTACATTTTGTAACATTGATACATAATAATTGATACATACTTGTCTGATTGTTACACTTTTACTTACGACTGGTTTTCTGTTGTAGATAAAACTACTCCCTTTTCTGTCTCCCAGTCACTGTATGGAGGACCAAATACTACGAAGATCTTGTCTTTTTGAAGACTCATTTTAACATTTGGTGCCAAGAACGCATGGAATATAACTCTCACCACCTATTGCACAATAATTTCAACATTCATTCATATTTTTATAAAACAAATAAATATCTCTAAATTAAAATATATAATAGTATTTTTTCTAACAAACACATACCTTCTTTTTAACAACTTCAGATGGTTGGCACTTTTCACTTTGCCCTGAAGATTGACTGTCCACTGATCTTTTTTGTTGGTTTTTGGATTCTTTCACCATTTTGGCGCGATTTTCTGTGTTTTCTGTCTGTTTTGTCTTTTGGAGACTTTCGTTTTCTTCTTTTCCATTGATATTATTGTTGACTTTGTCTGTTTGTATCTTATCCGGGGTTGACGGCCCACTGGTATCCCTAGACTGTGTGTGTGGCTTACCATCTTCATGTTGGTTCTTTTTATCTTCTTTTGTATCAAAAACTCTCCCTTGTTTGTCATCTTCATCTGTTTTTCTTATTGTGACCGAATTCAAAGTGTTGCCAGCTGATTCCTCTTCCACAGTTGATGCTTTCTTATTTCCGTCTGTTGTTTTCTGTGATTCCTGGACTTTTTCTTCATCCTTAGAGGATACAAAGTCACTATCTTGGATTGGGATATCTTGCGGCTCACTTTGTTGTGTTGAGGTATTCTGACCAATGTCTGCAATGACTTTGGATTCCTGTATAATTCCAAGGCTTTGTCCTTTTGCTATTTCGCTTTGATCTTGTTTCTCGGTTTCTGCATTTCTTTCTCCTTCCTTCTCATTTGATCCATTTCCTTCAAGGACACTGTCCCGAAGTACTTTCAATTCTTTTTCTGGGTCTTTTTCTGTCGTTGAGTTGTCTTTCGTTATATCGTGTGAGACTTCTGTAGTGCATTCTTTCTTTGTAGCTTCATTATCCTTACTAGCTATTCCATCTGGCACGTTTTGCTTCTCGGTGACATTTTTAACTGACGATGTTTCAGGCGAGCAATAAACGTCTACGTTTGATGACGTCTCACTGTCGTTACCGCCACCAGGATCTTCATGCTTATTCATATCTGTTTTCATGGTGTCAGGAACGGCTAAATAAATACAAAATATATCGATCTGTTTTGAATGTTCTTTTAATTTTTTAACATAGATGTCTAAGTTATTTTCCTTATGTGGATTTGTTATTATGTAATCTCTTGTTTTCCTTCCTTGATCTCTTTTGTCAATTAAAAATCATCGCATATTGCATATATATGAGCCTACATTATAGAGAGACATATATGTATATACCCCTTAAGTTTATCATAGATTATAAGGACATTAGCTAAACAACAGCATTAATTAGATAAAAGAACAAGAATAGTAGCTTATATTTGTTTGTTTCTAGGAGATTATCTAAACAACAGCATTGATTCGATAAAAGAACAAGAATATATAGTTCTAGCTTACATTTGTCTGTTACGTTGGAGGTACTCCCTTCCTCCAATTTATCGGATCCCTGACTGTTTTCTGGCACAGGCGTACCACATGAGGGACAGTACTTGAATCCTTCTGCCAGGTACCCATTACAGATGCTGCCGTTACTGAACTTTTTCTGGCATTTAACCATCTCGAAAACTTTCTAGTGTTACGTTCTGTAAATATTCTAAATCCAATGTTCTATCTCTCTCTCTCTCTCTCTCTCTCTCTCTCTCTCTCTCTCTCTTGTCGATCGATCAAGAGAGAAAAAGATAGAAAAAACTGCCGAATATAAGGATGTTTCAAAATTCATCTACTATTTCAGTATGACTGCATGCCGATAATTAACTATAGAAGTAGAACTGTCAGACCATATGGTATAGTCGACCCTCAACAGTCGTGAAATAAACATGAGAAATAAATAATATTCAAAAAACAGTTCCATGTTAACACCATTCATCGATTTATATAACCGAACGATACTCGATAAAACAACCCTGATGTAACAAGATTTAATGAAAAAATAAAAATAAAAAAACCCCGTATTTACCACATCTTAGAAAGAGCAGACATTACACTGTTCTATTTTTAGCATATGCCCTCTGGTATTATAAAACTTAACGTTATAATTCAATTTCATCCTAGAAAATTTATAATAAAATCAATATTAATCCATACCTTTAGAAATTAACAATATTCTCTTTGCACGTTAACTCGAGCTCGATCGCCCACCCGTCTAGCTGGCGGTAATATGCAACTGCGTCAAAAAAAAAATGCACAAGGAACGGTATTCAAAAAGATATATCAATATGCTAATGGTTTAATATCACAGTATGATGAATTAATAAGAATAATAAGTTAAACATTTTTCTTCATTAAAAAACGATTTTGAATAACGATAATTTTAATTTAAATATATTTATTGAAAAATATGATAATAAAATATTACAAACCCTCTAAAGGCCTCGTTCATTTTCGAAAAATAGAGAAACGAAAGTAGATTCTTTACTGAGAATCCCATGTTCTGAAAATAATCAATACTTGTTGTATGTAGTATTGGGGAAAAATATCAATCAATACATTTGTCTACTATTTAAACTCTTTCAAATCAATTCTTTACACATCTATAAACATATTCAAAAGAAATATCGTTCTATTAAATTTTACATACGCACAATATTTTTTTTTACCTACAAGTGGTCTTAAAAAATCTGAGTATCAAGAGTTTTATACTACTTTTATATGAGCAAATGTAAGTCTCGCCAGAAATGGTTAACTGACATTAATATTATAATTAAGTGCCTTCGAGAAAAAAAAATAAAAATAAGGTGATAGCTTTATAACCTCATAAAGCAATTTGCCTAGCACGTGACAGAGCTGCTGCACGCTCTCTCGTAAAGCGTATTTTTGTCATTACATTTTTAAAAGATATGTGATTGATTGATTGATTGTATATTGTTTAACGTCCCTCTCCAAAATATTTCACTGATATGGAGACGTCACCATTACCGGTGAAGGGCTGCAAATTTAAGCCTATGCTCGGCAATTACGGCCGTTGAGCAGGTAGGGATCTTTATCGTGCCACACCTTTTGTGACACGGGGCCTCGGTTTGTACGGTCTCATCCGAAGGACCGCCCCATTTAATTAAGGTAGATCGCGGGTTTACTGTTTGCCTGAAAACATAGGCTTAAAATTTGTCAGCTATAAGCTCTCGTTTTAAATTTTTCCTTCTTAATTTTTTTTTAGATTCGTCTGAGTGGTTAAATTGTAATCGTCATTCAAATGCGCTAATGTTGATGAGAACAGGTGACGCTTTTTCAATGAAATAAATAATAAAATGCCCCTTTTCAGCCGGTATACGCATTTCAAAACCAAGGTCATAACATAAAAACGAAGCAGACGAATTTTATATAACTCGATACCATGACTGTGAAGTTAATTTAAAATCGATCTATTAAAAAAAATTAATATGTGTTCTCGCTCAATTTCTTGCAAAAAAACTTTAAAGTTTTACAATTTTCGATCAGATCTAGAAGTATGATATTTTCTTCACGACGTTATATAACGTTGGTGCGACGTCATTATTTTCGTATGTCTGCATGACAAAAAAAATTGATTTAATGAACAATTCACTCAAAATAATACACGCAATCCTTGCATTCATTTTTTTCGGTATAATCATTGCCATTGTTTACCAACAGCGTGGCACAATTTCAATGTCATGTGGGTTTTTTTCTCATTAAACTCAAGGGCAGGAGTACGGAAAAATTATAACAAATGTAAGTAGATGAAAGGGGACAAAACATGTTAGGCCTTCCGGATATAAGAACATTTTCAAACATATATGTTTGTGTATCATTTTCATTTATAATTGATAAAATGTACCAGTTTTAAAGCGGAAATAATTAATTAAATTAAAATAGCTTTACGGCCTACATTGTATATAATACATTTATACTTCAGAGAATGAATTCCGCCGAAATGTGGCTGAAATATTGCCGACTCGGCGTTAAACAAAATAAAATCAACCAATCATAGAATGAATTGATTTTGTCTATCACTGAATTAACAGACTTTTGTTTTCCCTCCAAACTGTCGTATAGGCCATATCTTATCATTATTTTGCCGATATATAGAATACTATAGATAGCATACAGTTTACCATAGAAAACAGGTTACAATATTATATAAAACATTTACTACTATATGCTCGAGCCCCCTCAGTGAAAACGCCTGTTACCCTCTCCTTTTTTTTCTTTTGCTTGTCAAGGAAATTTTGGTTGTTAATAGGACTCTGACTGAAAAAAATATGGTTGAGCCCTCTAATTGATATTGCTTCCTGCGGGCCAGCAACTTTTACCTTGAACCCCCCCCCCCCCCCCCACACACACACACACAAAACATCAGTTGCAGTTGTATGTCGAATCGCTATTCATTGTCAATAATAAAAGAGTCCGAGTAAATAGATGACAATTTATAGGACGTAGATATTTTATTTGTAATATTTCATTTGTGTTATTTTATTTGGCGATGTTACCTAAATCAATAACGTCTCTCCTGTTCATTATTATATAGTTTACTGCCCATCCCCCCCCCCTTCCAAAAAAAAAAAAAACATCAGTAAGAGAAATTTCGTGTACAAATGAAAGTTCATATGAAGCATACTTACGTATCATATATTGTCCATTTCTCTCTCGTTTCAAAAATCTTATACCTGTACTTAGGTCATACAATATTGTTGCACATACAAATATTACCAATCGTAATATCGTAAAAGGCTTACATCATCACGAAGAAAATGGGCACATTGTATTTTGATTTATCTAGAGATGATTGTTGTTTAAAAGAAACAAAAATAAAATAGATTAGTATGTAGACTAAATTAAACAAACAGAACAAAATTTATAAAAGTGAACAAAAATACTAAACGTACTGCAGGTCAGACCTGCCGGTGTAACGTTGAATATTGACCCGAGTTGAAAATTGACCCGGGAGTCATTTTTCAACGTTGAATATTGAACCGAGGTCATTTTTCAACGTTGAATATTGAGACTAAAAGTCGTTGAATTTATACCCGGGGTCATTTTTCAACAGCTTGATATTTTTTTTCTTACACATGATGACGTCAACAAGTTGAAAATTGACCCTGTTGAATATTGACCCTACCTCAAAGTTTGAACATTTTTTTTAGCTGGGAAGTTGTTTTACGGGATTTATCATGCAATATCACTTTATTTCTATTTTGGTTTCAATTTTTTCCCCTTTCAAGAATAATAGAAATAAACATACAGTATCACCCCGTGTATATATGTACATTTTGATCAGTGCACGATTTCAGTTATCTTCAAGCATGACAACTTTATATTTGAAAATACTTTCCAAAATCCATGGCATCCATAAACAACTACAAAACAACGAATAAGGCATGAAACAAAAATCTTAAAAATCTGCTGTCTAGAAAGTGAGCCCTATATATATCGATCAGGCGGGTGGAACATCCCATCTAGTCAAATTCAGTATGAAAATAACAAAATTAATAGCTCAAAAATTAGAATGAAACACATCGACCAAAATGATTCCAATGATAGGTTATATTTGTGAAAAAGAGCAATATTATAGCGACCATAGCATGTAAGTAATGCTGACTTTAAAGAAATTGCTGAAATCCCTGTAACAATTAACTTATTTGTCAGTAGCCTGTCTCGGCTTGAAAATTGATCGCTTTCGGACCATAACCTTGAGAATGAGATTATTCTTATTCTAAAAAATTCTTATTTTATACAATGTGATTCCTATATGATTACTTGTTATTTCTATTCCATTATTTGTAATTTGTATTCGATAAATTGCTATTCCAATTACAGGAAATGTGACAATATGATTCATATATCATAAAATTTACATATTTTTCTCTCGAAAACACGCGTTTCCTATTCGATGTCATTTATATTTAAAGCAATCGGTTGCTAGTCGCTAATTTTGTCGTTCCTATTCAATAATTTTATCTTTTTTATTCGATAATTATTTGGTTTATATATGGTATAAAGTTGTTGTTCGAAAACATACTAGCATCCATTTCTATTCGAAAAAATACGATTCCTTTTCGATAAACTTCTCATTTCATTACATAATTTTATCTCTATGATAACCTATGCGATGTTTTTTTTAATTCTTTTTCATTAATTGCTATGATTGCATTCTGGGAAATATGACAAATTAAACCAGAATTGGTTGTAAACTCAATTAAATAGGAATGTAAAGTTTAAAATTATTATCGAATATGAATCACTTTGTCACATAGATTGACAAAACAAAATTTGAAAATATGGGAATAAGGCACAAGTTTTCTCTCTTCAAGACTTAGAGACCAGAGATCAGTATAAATTAAGCTGTTGCTGTTTAATATTAAATAAATGTGTTTCGTTTTATACATCGATGGAGTAATTACACTGTATAGAGGATTAAGTTATTCAGAATACTAATTTAATTATTTGATTATGTCTCGTATCAATTTTTGACAAAGATATCCAATATGTTTTAATATAAAGTACATGTAGATCCTAATTCAAGACTTTAACGAGGCTAGGGGGTGGCAGCCATTTTTAGACTATTTCAATCTCCTTTAAAAGGAGAGCTCCATATAAAGATATACAAAATGATAAAATTTTAAAACTAAAATATATGAATTTTTTCTTTGCCAAATGATAGTTGACAGCTAAATATACCGTATCTAAAAAAAATAAGTTAAATCTGGTGGTTAATTTGGGATTAAATTGTTGACCCGCCAGCCTCCTTAAAGCATTGTTACGTCTCATCAATTACGAAACATTAAAACATATTAATACAAGCTGTAGTAATTTTTTCTTCAGAAACATCAAGTCATACTCTGTATTATCTTTAATTGAGAAATCGATACTATATGATGTCACTCACTTTAATGAAATTTTCTAAACTCGTAAACTTTTCTAAACTTTCTGGAGCACGTAAATTTACTTACCTAGTCATTGGTCATTTGCAAAATTATTTTGAGAAAACAGATTCTGATTGCACACATAAGTACTCTGAAGTTGATATCAAGAAGATGCTTGAGTTTCTGATTGACAATATCTATGTGGTTTTTGGAGACCAGGTATTCCAACAATCTATTGGAATTAACATGGATACAAATTGCGCTCCGTTATTAGCAGACTTATTTTTATATTAATATGAAGTAGAATTTATGCAAAATCTTATGCCTGAAAAGAAGAAAACACTTGCTGTGGCCTTCAACTCGACATTTAGATATATCGACGACGTATTGTCAATTAATAATGATAATTTCCATTCCTACGTCGATATGATATATCTCAGTGAGCTTGAGATAAAAGATACCACAAAGTCCGACACTTCTGCTTCATATTTG